GTGAACTAGCCTGACAATTCAGGAAAGCAATTTGGAGTTATGGTAAGCAAGTAACCAAAATGTCTACCAGGAGCGGGGAACGTGTGGCCCTCTAGGTCCTGGGCGTAGCCTTTTGACTGAGTCCAAATTTTACAGAACCAATCCTTTTATTAAGGGGAGTTGTTCTGTGAAGTGTGGATTCAGTCAAGGGGCCACACTTGAGGATGTAGAGGGCCACATGTGGCCTCGAGGCTACAGGTTTCCTGTTCCTGATACTCTTTGACTCAGAGATTCCACAGAAAAAAAACATACCCTAAGAAAGGCCCCATATATACCAAAACTATAGCTGCATTTTTTTTGTGATAGCAAATAACTGGAAACAAAGTAAATGCCCACTGGTAGGAAAACAGCCAAACAAGCTAAGGCATATGAATGCAATGGAATATTACTGTGTTATAAGAAACTATGTAAATACATTAAATACAGAGAAGCATAGAAGATTTAACATAGACTGAAGCAAAGTGAAATAAGCAACCAGGGAAACAATATATACTGACTACAGTGTAAACAAATATATGTAAACAGAATGCTATGAAAATTATGACCAACTTTGGTTCCAAAGAGGAGATACAAGAAGGTTATCTTTCAACCTTCTCCTTTATAGAGGCATGGAACATCGTAATATAATGTCAGATTTTCTCAATGTGCTGGTTATTTTTGCTGAACTATTTCCCCACTTCTTTCTGGTTGATTGTTATAAGTGATTATTCTCTGGAAATGGAAGAGGGATACATTGGGAAATGTAGGTGATTTAAAAATCAATTAAGGCTTTGTTTTTAAAGAAACAACAAACATGAAGAACGTCAAATAATGAGAAGACTTGTATTAACTCACATGGAGCAAATAATGAACTATTTACACAATCATCACAATAACATAAACGAAGACAGCACTGAAAGACCAAGAACTCTGGTTGAAGCAGAAACCAATCTTGACTCCAGACAACTGGCCACTCATCAAACACTTTTTTTCTCTTGGCAAAGGGGTGGTGGCCTGCAGATATAGAATTGATGTATGTGCTGCCAGATACAGCCAATTGGTTGGTTTGTTTTGCTTAACAAATCTTGGTTACAAAGTGAAGCAGTCATTGGGAGATGGTATCGGTGTTAAAATAATAATAATAATAAATATCTAATTTTTAAAAAATAATTCACTGTTAACTTCTGGGGGCAAATATTATGTTTATGTCCTTATGTCCCAACACTTAAGAGATCATCTAGGCCCTTCCTATTGTGTTACCTCCAAATCTGATAAGCACATTGACTATGCCTTCTTCCAAGTCAGTGATAAAAATGTTCAACAGAATGGGAAAAAGATCAGACCATGCTGCCCTCCTCCTTTTCTCAAGGCATAGCACAAAAGAATTCTTTATAGTCTCATAATAATTAAAATCACCTTTTAAAGGATAAAAGGATATTTAACTTAGGACCTTAGAGATCTTCTTGTCTAACCTTGTAACTTTAAAGCTGAGGAAACCAAGGCCTAGAAAAGTTAGTGTTCACCCAACATCCCACTGACAGGAGACGCAGCATTCAAATGCTGGTCTTCTGACTCCAAATTCCATTCTACTATAAATATAGTTCCAAATCCACCTACATGTTATCATGTGGCCTGCATCTAATCCCTCCATCAACTCCACAATATAATGAGATTTCTCTCTCTATATATATATACACACATACACACACACACACACACATATATGTATATATATATATATATACACACACACATATATATATATATATATATATATATATATATATATATATATATATATATATAGGCCATGGGAAATTTAGGAGTACTTTCCTTGAAAACATGTTATTAATTTTTCCACATAACATAATCTTAAAGCAGTTAGAAAGAAAATTAAGTTTTAAAATTGATCACTTTGAAATTGATATGCATACAGAAAAAAATCTTGTAGATTCACTGTGCTAACAGAATAATATACAATGCTAGTATTTCAACTTTAATTCAATAAGCATTTATTAAGCAACTACTATGTGCTAGGTAGGCACTTTGTAGAGGCTGAACTACAAAGACAAACAGGAAATACTCCCTGCCCTCAAGGAGCTAACATTCTACTGGGGTACACAACATTTACACAGATAAGCAAATACCAAATTATACAAAAATATATACAAAGTAATCTGTGATAGAAGCATTAATAAATGGGAGAATCTGAAAAGATCACTTACAGGGGGTGGCACTTGAGCTGAGGCTTGAAGGGAAATGGGGATTCTAAATGTAGAGGTGAAAAGGAAGAGCATTTGCAGACATGATCTTCCTTGAAAAGGCACAGGCTCAAAGAGGAAGGAATGTCATTTCCAAGAAGCACAGAGTAGGCTAGTTTTGATGGAATGTTGATTGTATGAATGCAAGTAATGCGAAATCTGTCTGGAAAGACAGGTTGGAGCCAGACTAAGAAGGGCTTTAAATAAATACCGAACAGAAAAGTTAGTATTTTTATGCCAAAGGACATAGGGAGCCATTGGACCTTCTAGGTAGAGGAATGACAATGTTAGACTTCAACTCCAGATAGGTAACTTCCTATAACTTTATTTTAGATCATTTATACAGTAGGCACTTTGGAATTTCAACAGAATATGAAAAGACGGGAAATTGAGTTAAGGGAACTCATGCACAATCAATGTAACCTCACACAAAATGCATGACATTATAGTCACACCTTCTATGTATCCATATAGACTAAAGACAAATGTAGGAAAAAGTATGAACCCCATTTGTGGATAGGTTGATGGAAGGGAAGTACATTGGTTCAACGCCTTGCTAGAATATATCTGAAATCTCAAGATTGCAGATTCTCTTATTGTTCTTCCTAATACCAAACTACAATACGGGAAGAATCTATATGAATTGCTCATTGGAAGAAAGCATTCTTTTTAAAATAGTGGTTATACCACAGGATTAAGTAAATCCAGATAACTATAAGGAAAACTTTCCTGACATTATGTATTCAAAAAAAAATCCTTCAAGAAGTTAACATAGGAAAAACCAAGTGGATGAAGGCATATTGCCCAGATTGTGACTTACATTTGAAAAGAGTACCAAACTGAATTTTTCTATTAATGTAAATAGAATTGTAATGCCAAGCATTACAATTGTGATTACCAATTCAGATATCACAGATGAACAATGAGGGAAGCCAAGTTAAAGAAGGTCAAGTGAGTGCTAGATAGTATTTGGTAAATTGTCCAGTATTTTCAATAATCAAATGCAAAAGTCCTTTTAAAAAAGACTAATATTCTCCCAATGAACCACGGAACACCACGATTTTCAAAGAACCAAAACTGAAAGTAACCCAAAGAGCAGTAGAAAGAAGCATGATGGATATACATAAACTACCACACATTGTCACTTTTTAAAATAAGTGACATAAAATATGGTGAGGACATCTATGACTAGAAAAGGAGGTATGGGAACAAGAGATGGACCATTTGGGTTTTGCACTGGCATCAAGACCTAGACAAAGGCCCCCATCATGTTGGACATAGTCTGAGATTTTATGGAAGAACAAAAATCAGAAAGAATGATATATGGATGGTCTAAAGATCTACACTGGTAGAGGGAGTATCCACATCAATAAGACTGTGAATACATTCTAAAGGGTTAAGACAAGCTTTTATTTATTTTAGGCAGAGATATTTTAAAACACAAGAAATTTTTATGTGTTTGGGATGATTTAGATGTGATCTAGCTGGGGGAATGAACTAAATGACCTCAAAAATCACTTACAGTCCTAAGCATCTAAATCTAATATTGTCATCATTGTTATTCAAGTATTAAATAAGTCAAGAATTTATGAAAACATAAACAGACTAAGCTTCTAGCCAAAAAAGGTAAATTCCTGTATTGAGTAGAATTAGATTACTTAGGATGAATTTTAAAAATCCTTTAATATGGAGAGAGGGAGAAAAAGAGAGAAAGAGATGTTTGAAATACAATGCATCTTTCTTAAGCATTTTCTCTAGAAACTTTTTATACTTGTTCATTATTTTCTGGAGAAATAACTTGAGAAATTCCTTCTAGTCCCTAGCTATCTTTCAGGTTTCCCAAACAACCTATTTAATTTTGTCTGCTTCAAAATAGAACCCTACACATTATTCTGTGTGCCACTAACTAAAAATTTCATAACTTAGGGTCAACTTTTTCCAAAGACGAGCTTGAATAGCAGTTGCCTACTGCATACTCTGAATGTAGAGAAAAATCAGTCCTAAAATAATGTACATCTTCTACTTCAGAGAATTAAGTACAGTACAAAGCAAACTCAGGGCAACACAACTTGTCAATTGCCAAGAATTGCTTGCAAACAGTGCTAAAAAGTAAAAAGAAACAAAAGATTTTCTTCCTTTGACTAATTTGGTATGAAATGTTAAAGTCTGAATTTAAAACCAAAAAACACCCCAATTCATATTTAGGTCACTTTCAAATTTTATTTCCAACTACTGCAATAAACAACAAAAATACCATGCAATTTTGCATGTAAAGTGGCAATCTTCTGTAGTAAACAAGGTCAGAAATACTCTATTCTGTCCTACAGATGTTTCTGATAACACAGGATTATAATTCCTCTATATGACAAAATGTCAAAATCAAATCTTATTTAGTATTGCAGATTTGTGGTTCCTCACTATCTAGTACTAAAAGTATTTATCTTACCACTCTGGTTGATGTGTATTAATCTCTACATTTTGTAACCACTAAAAACTATTACCTTTACAGGTCGTATTGTGCCTGGAGACCAGAGATAGATGAAGGATAATACCAACTCATGTTAGCTTTTTTTTCTTATACTGTACAGAAATACCAATAACTTCAGCATTTTTGTACAATGTTGTAAACAAATACTTAACTGGAAAAATAAAAGCATGTACTCCCCCTACGTATAAACCATTTCTAGGGGTAAAAAAGATAAACACCATTACAAATGCAAACTGAGTCAAATGTCTGGTTTATTGATAGGAATTCAAAATGAATACAAAAGATGTCTCCTTTGCATGTTGTGTTTTCTCCTTAAAAGATTTCTGACAGAGTCAGGTAGATTAAAAACTAAGAATGTCTTTCAGCTTTTATACTGTACCTTTGACAAAAGGTATAATAATAGGTAAGCCACCAACATCAGATAACATATGGTCCCATAGTCATTTTTAGACAAACAGCTTATCAAAAAAGATTAGATCTTGCATTGATCTGCTGAAATAGAGGCTTAAAAATGTCTTAAGCCATTAAGAGCATTTTATGACACAGTCAATAATTTTTTATAATTTGTATGAGTATCTTGGGCAATTAAGAAAAGGCAAATCCCAAAATGTGGCCCTCTACATGTGGAATGTGCTTCCTAAGAACAGGACATGAACTGATAATCAGAACAAGTAAAAACAAAGAGATTTAAAGCTATTAATGGAGCTGTTATAACATTCTCCTATCAGTGAAAAATATTGAGAAAATAAGTAACAGTTTACCAAGATTATAACTTGTGCAGATGGTACCTAAAAGATGTTTACTTTTCTAAAAAATAAAGTTGACTGCAGAAAGTTACTCATTGAGATTTTTTTCATGGTACTTCTTCTTTTATTGGGACCACAGACTGATAAGACGATACATAGCCCACACTTTTGGACAGTTATAATAAAAAAGATTTATTATCATTGTTGAAATAAATGCACCATCCCACAGTTAAAAGGCTTAAATAAGCCACAAGCATTTTCTAGGTTGTACCCATGGCAAAATATTGCTAGACCTCCACTGGCAAGTTACATAATGCACTCATACTGGGCAAAGAAACTAAACAACTCTCCTCAACAACACTTCTGCACTGTGTTTCTGGTTTACTGTACAGTTCCATCATAACAGCAAAGAGTTTGCAAATATGTGCAAATAGTGTAGTCAGTTCAGAGTATTGTTTAGTCATCATCATCTTCTTCCTCTTCTTCTTCTTCAAAACTATCTTCAAAGCCCTCACTATCTTCCTGGTCTTCATCTCCCTCTATTGTTGTATCCCACTGTGGGTGATTTTCTGGCACTGGCTTAGCTTCATGAACTTCCAACTGCAAAAGAAAGTTTGAGTGTTGAAATTATCATTTTTATTAATAACAAATGATAGGTGATACTTACAGACAGTATTTTATAGCTTACAAGGCACTTGATATCTATTATTTCATTTGTTCCTTACATACAGCAAATAGAAAGTCAGGAGACCTGAGTTACAATCTTAGCTCTAACATATACCAGAAATATGACCATAAGCCATCATTTCTCCAAAGAACACTCAGCTTTGAATTTTCAATTTTCCTTTGAATCTCAGCCACGGTCTAAATTTGGATGTGGAAAACTGAAGAAGACTTTGTACGCTCTTTCCCCAGGACATACACAATGACTGTATTTATTTTTCAGTATCTTTTGAATACATTTTTATAAATACTGTCTTGTATACCTGTGGCACACAACTGGGAGGCAAAGGAAGATGATCTTTTGTGCCCAGCCCTGTTTGCCCTTGAATACCCAATCAGTTCTATGCCTTCTAATAGTTCAGAAGTCAACGCCTGCATTATAAATTAGAATGACTTCTGCAGCAAAGGGGCAGCTCTAGCAATAAACCGAGTCCTAGTGGGCATGTGCTTCAGGTTGCTATGTTCCTCATCAGAGAAAGGAAACTTCAGAATGTCAAAGTCTAAGATGAGGTCATCAAAAGTAGTTTATGCAGGAGTGAAGAATAAACTTTTCTAAAGGTATGATTAATCTGTCCTCAGCTCCTGCCTCCGCCTCCAGCAGGTATTCATTCTACAATAATTCCTTCAGGTAAACATCCAACCTCTACTTGAACAATTACAGCAAGAGGGGATAATTTTATATCCCATTCCACTTTAGGCCAACTTAATTTTTTTAATTGAAACAAAATTTATCTCCTTGTAATTTTAACTCACTGGAACTAGTTTTGCCCTCTGGAGCAGAATAGGGCTAAATACTCTTTCACATGATAGCCCTCCAAATACTTTAAGACAGCTAGACAACTATCATCACCAAACCTAACTCCATCACACACCACTCCCAAGTAGTCTCTTCTCTAGACTAAGCATTCCCAATTATTTAAGGTCTTCCTCATATGGCATGGCTTTGAGAACTTTCACTTTGTTCTAGTTACTTTCTTCTGGACATCTTCCAATTTGTCACTACTGCTTTGCAAGTGTGACACTCAGAAGTGAACATAACACACCAGGTGTGGTCAAATCAGTGCAAAGTACAACATAACTCTTACTCTAGTCACTATACTTCTGTTAAAACAGCCTAAGGTTTTCATTAACTTTTCTCAAAATCCTTTCATACTGCTATTTCAGAGGGTCTTCAGTTGGCTTGTCAATTCAAGCTTTTAAATTGTTACAAATCTTAATATTAACCTTCAAGAGAAGTATTTTATTCTTAAAAACACACCAGCCCATAATACAATCTACACATAAAAACATTTGATGAACTCTTTCCTATCCCATTATTTACTTCTATAAACTAAAGATAGCTTAATCAAATAATTATTCAAACCAAGAAATAGGCAATACATTTACTGAATGGTCTTTAATTCCTACCTTCAATGGCTTAATCTGGTCCAAACCCATATAGGAATCTGATCTTAGATACACTGTATACTGATAATTTCCGGGTTTTCCTGGAGCAGGGAACTTCAGTTCTACCTAAAAGATAAATTTGTTAACTTCAGAGTAATAATCCTTGGCTCTTACAAGTCTTAAATCAAGCCTAACAGTTGCTGTTTCTCTAGTACTATAACGTTTACAAAATAAAATACTTAAATGCATGATCACACGAGCTTCATAACAGCTCTGTAAGGTAGGTACTACAGGCATTATTAAACCCAATTTTACAGTTGAGGAAATAGGCAGAGAGGTTAAATAACTTGTTCACTGACACACAGAGAAGTAAGTGATGGAGACTGTATGTAAAGAAGTTTTTCCTGATTAAGTCCAATACTCCCTTCATTGCCTCTCAATACAAAATAATACATAAACCAAAAAGAAACCAACCCAGGGAAGCTGAGACCATTTATTCGTATTCCCATGATTTTTAATGCAACAGAGAGAAACTGCTACAAGGGATCCAATTATATGTTGGCATTTTCAAAATAATAGCTTTCATTTAAGAGGAATTTTGAAGATGAATCCAAGACTTTGAAAGGTCTCTGAAAAAATTTATTATTTGGTATAATGTATGTAGGATTTACAGAAATCACAATAGTGTGTGGAAGTTAATCACTATATTGGCTGAGTGGGTAAAGAAAACGGAGACACTTTTTCCTTATCTCACTTCTAAATGGCTCACTGACAAGGTTAGGTAGAGGCTTTTTCTGGTGGCCAAGAAAATAGCTATTTTACCTAATGAATATATGCAGGGATAATGTAAATTTTTACTACCCAAACCATTTAGAAACACGTAGAATAAGAAAGTCATAAGCCAGAAAGACAGAGGAGTTAATGGATAGGGGTCAGAGAAAAGGAACAATGATTCCCTTACATACAATCTTAGTTTGAGTAAATATCTGCCTTTTAACTCCTTTCTGGAATTTGAAAGCCAAATGATCTGCTATATAAACTATTCCACCATCTATCATTGTGGCCATACAGAGAAATAATTCTATCATGATATCAGCGTAATCACAACTAGCTTCTCATAGCTTCTTAAAATTACTGAATATTAATATATTGCTAAAAAAAAGGTTCCAAAGACCTTAGGGTTGTACCAGGATTTAAAAACTTTTTTAAGTAAAAAGGTAAAAATTTCCTTAGATGCTCCTTCTGTTCAAGTTATAGGATGGCATTAAAGAGAAATCTTGGCCAAGGCAAGGAAAAGAATCCTATTTTCGTCTGGGCATATTTTTACCTTTTGTGATTTGGTCCCACAAAAAAGGTTGCTTATATCACGTGTTCTGGTTTTGTTTTTTTTTTAATTAAGGTCAGGGCATGGTAGCTTGCCTATTCCATTTTGACAATATATGTCTACTATTTAAATGTGTGACATCAATATATCCATGTGAATCTGGTCTATGAATGTGGAATTAAATTGCTTTATTCATTTCAAAATTTAAAAACAAAAGTTAAGGCTTTGCAGGACATGAAAACAATAGCAGAGAGTATCTGAAGATATGAGTAATCAAAACATAAAGCTCATGTGGGGGAAAAAACAAGTATATTTTTAAACTGGACCTTCATTATTTATTACTAAATTGATTTGGTTGCAACAATGCAAATTTGCATGTCACTTTTGCTTCTGGCCAGGGTAACTATTATAATGTTCAACTCTAATAACTAGAAGAAGATAAAGTTTAAAATATTTGGTCTTTATTATAAATTGTTTGTGTATATCTTTAATGAAAATACAGGCATGTGAACATCACACAAGTATCTGACCCAATATGTCAAAGAGAAAATTTGACAAATGTTATCATAATTTATAAGCTTCAGTCACTAAATTTTGCTTTTCCATCCTAATTAATCTGAATTCTACACTGGTATATCACATATATAATAAATTAACTTAGGCATTTGGGGCTTTTTAAAAAGGCTACCCCAAACTGAGTTTTGTTAATTCTAACTAAAAGAATCCATGATTCTGGAATTCAATTGTTTGGCGACATCAACAGTGGAAGTATACCTGATTAATATTAGTAAAGACAGAAATATGCCTCCCCTTTTTTTAATGTAATGCTATTCTTTGTGATAGTTTAAAGTGTAATTACTATGAAATTTAAAACTGGTAAATGGGCATGAAGATTTACTCCATGTGAATAATACAGGTACTTACTGAATGTAATGTGCTTATTGGGAATGTGAAATAATTGGCATTTACAAGATTAACTACTATGCTTAGACCTTAAAATGTCATAGATCTGTGCCACTGCTGGCTGGAAATGAATTTAAAAAGAAATCAGTGTACTTGTGACTGCAGAACATTATCCTAGGAAGCAGCATACAATCTGTGATTTGATGAACTTAGTTAAGTCACCAACAGAATCACTCTTCAATCACTTTCTTAAAGACCCAGAGATCATGAAGAATACATGAAATTCAAAATAAGACTAATTTCCTACTATTCCTTAATTTATTCTTGTTCCTAAGCTAATTTTTAAAAGTTAGTGGGGTATTTTTCTGTGACTGATGAAACTGTTTATAAATTATGCCATTTCAACACGGAATTTGAGGATGTACTGTTTTTAAAATATATTTTTTAGGACAGATCTAGTATAACAAAGCAAGGTGGGGGGGGCAAACTCAAGAAGGAAAGGAAAACACTGACAGTTCAGAAAATAAGGGGAAAAGGTAAAGTGATAAGCTACCATACCAAAGTAAGGAGGAATCAGAAATTAATGAAATTAAGGTAAACTGGAAATTAATCAACATAAACCCAGGGCTTTGAAAACCTTTCAGCACTAGAATGACCTAAGCTGCCTAGCAATAGCAAGCAAGCTACTGTTTCCAAAAGCAGTTGAATCCAGTATAACCCTACGTGCTAGTCATCCAAGACAATGTAAAAGATGCTTTTGTTGTTTTAAAGCCTCAGTCTTTATGATGATATGCCTATGCACCCTTGATTTGGACCTTTATACTATTCTTCACTAAAGGGGTCCAAGAGTTTCTGTGGAACAAGCAGGCAGTTTCAGCAAAGCAAAGAAGACAGCCTTGGCATGCCCTTACTATTTACAGAAGGCAATGACACTTTGAAAGTTCTTATAGAGAGGAATGTTGGAATTAATAATAGACAATTTAAAAAAGGCATCCCTCTGACAGTAGATACTCACTGATAAGAGAAGCAACAATACAACACAGCTGGAACAAATTCCATGAGGATATGTGGAATGGGAAGACTAATGACAAATGTATGCAGAAGTACTTTTTTTTTTACAGCCATGCTATTTAATTAGTAAGGTTCTTAATAATAAAATAATAATGGTATACCAACGTTTGCATCCGTAAGATGCAATAAGATTTGCTATTCACTATTTCTAATCATTTCAAGTTTCCTGGAGGAGTGAAGGATGGTAAGAGGTTAACATCTTCCTCTACAAGTTTGCTTTGGGCATCAAACATCACAACATTATGTACATTTCATTCAAATTAAAGCACTAGGAAGAACTCTTAAAAATGCTTTCAAATTAAGATACATGGAGGTAAAGGGCATATTAATCAGAGCACTATACCAAAATAAAGATAAAAGAACCTCTACCATCATTAATGTAAAGCAGGTTCTGGACAACCAAGACACACTTATTAAACTCTCAAACAGAAAATGGTTAAAAGTAATTGGGATAAGTTTGTTTGCAAAACAGGAAAGAAGGTAATCAGAAGAGAGATTTAGAGCAGTCATACTAAACTGGAAAGATAAAAGCCCTTGTTGTACAATGTAAAAATCTGGCAGGCTGGGGAAGCTAGGTGGCACAGTGGATAGAGCTCCGGCCTTGGAGTCATGAGGACCTGAGTTCAAATCCGGTCTGGACCTTGGGCAAGTCACTTAACCCTGATTGCTAGCAAAAAGGAAGGGGTAAAGAAGAGAACCTGCACTAAATGATCTGTAAGGTCCCCTCTAGCCCTGACCTATGAGCCTGGGCAATGAGAGTCCAATGCACCAAACTCTTTACATCTAACCCAGGTCTACTTCACAGGGAATATAGACTACCAGATGACACAGTGGACCAGCCTTTGATACTTACTCAGCTGTGTGACCCTGCAGTCACTAAACACATCTGAATCGGTTTCCTCATCTATAAAATGAGGATAATAACAGCACCTGCCTCCCAGGGTTGTTGTGAGGATCAAATGAGAGAATAATTATAAAGCATCTACAGTGCCTAGGACATAGTGAGTGCTATACACATGTTAGTTATTATTATTAGTAAGATCAGAACAGATAAAAAGTGGGAAATCTCATGCTGCCCATAAGAAATTACTAATTTAACTCTTTAAACCAGTACACGATCCTTATTCTAGACACACACACACCGCTTTCTCAAAATTAATGTTAAAATTGATATTTGCGTTACCAAGGAACAGCCAATGAGCTAACGTGATATTCTGAGCACTAAACAAAACAGCAATAAAACATTTCAAACATCTTACCACTCAGTTAAAAAATGAGAGAAAGTTGTTTTTCAATGAAGAATTAACACTAGAGATGTAACAAAACCATCCCCAGGCCTTACTCCTCTTTCCTAGTCCTCTATACAAAGGCAAACTAAGAACACCTTTCCTAGGGAGTATAACATATAAGAAGGAAGATTGTAGAGGCAGTGGAAAGCAATTATATCCTTAAATATCCAAAGACAAAATATTTTTTGCCACAATTGTCCATTAGTCAAGATAAATGTATCAATGTATCAAACATAACAATGTCAGTACAAAAGTATTTCTTGTTTATTTTCTCAGATTCTATTCTTAAGTAATTCAAAGAGGGAAAAAACATTTATTTTTTAAATAGAATCCTTAAATATTGAGCAACAGATCAGTGGGGGGGGGAAACCCTGTAAAATTTGTAGACAACGCAATTCCTGAAAAGGAGAAATACATAAAATTGTATTTTCTTTAGCATTAAAATATCCAAACTGCAAAAATTTTGAAAAGCAAATGTTAAAAAGATTGTCTATTAAACTCTGATAATCTATCACACACAAATCTTAACTGAAGGCAAAAGATTTTGCTTCCATGGAAAAACCAAGAGATATTCTAGAGAAAAAATGATTTGGGGGGGGTGTGCAAGGGAAATAAACATAAAATGTTAAGGTCAGAAAGAAAAAGAACAGTGCTACTATATACATACATATGTCACAAATATTGAAATGGTATTATGCAATTAATTACCTCTTCCATATCTTTTAATGTGCACACATGGTATGGCATAGATATCAATGTTTGTTCCTTCCTATCTGCAATATAAAGCCACCACCACTCTTGTTTTTCCTATGGAGGGGAAGAAGAAAAAGTCCTATAAATTATTAGGAAAAAACCAACAGCTTTACATTAAAGGGGAAGGTTGTATGGAAGTAGGGGAAAGTGGGAAGAAAGGTATATCGCAAAGGGACTACAACACAAAAAACCAAAAAGCATCAATAAAAATTTCAAAACCAACTTAACTAGATGAATTTAGAATATCAGAAATATTTATGTCATAATCAGATGATTGGCAAACACTTGTAAAAGAAAAAGTACAAAAGATATAGTTCCCTTATCTGGAAAGCTCATTTATCAGAGAACCAAGAATCAAAAAAGTAAACCAAAAGGACTCTAAGCAGTCAAAATATGTAATCAATTTAAAAAAAGTATTTATTAAGCACTTACTATGTGCAAGGCACTATGCTAAGTAAGCACTGGGGATACAAAGAAAGGTAAATACAATGACTGCTCTCAAGGAACTCACTTTATAGTAGGAAAGACAACACATAAATTACTGGGCATGCAAGACACGAATACGTACCAAGTAGATGGGAGGTAATCTCAGAGGAGAAGACACTATTTATTAGCTGCTGGGAAGGGGGGGGGATTGGTAATGTCTAGAGAGGGGTGGAGAAATAGTACACAGTTCAGAGGACTGATCAAGAAAAGGTATTATGAGAATCACAGTTACAGAACTTCAGGGTTGGAAGGGACCTCAGTCATCTAGTCCAACCTATACCTGATTTAATATCCAAATTGAAGGAGAAATCACTTTGAGATGAGGAGGTCAAGGAAAGGTTCAAGGAGGAAGTGGCACTAGAGTATTTCAAAAGGTGGGGAGGGGAAGTGACAGAAATCTATTACAGGAAGAAGAGTCATCACAAGCAAAAGTACACAGAAGACTGGAGAAAGCAGGATAAACAACGATCAAATGAGCTTCAAGATAGAAAAGTGAACATTCATAGGAGGGTCTGCTCACCACCACCATACTTACTCTTACTCTACACACCAACCTAACAAGTTTTTTACTGCCTGGTTTTTTAACCCAAAGCAGAGGAAAAGGAACTTGCTACAGGAAGGTAGAGATAGCAGTAAGAAGTCCCAGCTGACAGCAGGATGGGATACGTAGACACAACAGCTTGGAAAGTACTGTGTCAAGTGTCCTACAGAAACAGTAGTAAACAGCTGAATAAAGCTCAATGGGTTCTAAGGGAATCAATGTGTTATAAAACAGTTCAATAACCGATGTTTATAATGAACTTCAATCATCAAGAAAAGTTTAAAATTCAGTATTGTCTGTTTAAAAATAAGGAACAATAAGAAATGATGAACAGGCTGACTTCAGAAAAACCTGGAAAGACTTATATGGTCTGATGCTGAGTGAAGTGAGCAGAACCAAGAGGACTTTGTACACAATAACAGCCACGTTATGCAATAACTAATATTGTTAAACTGAACCTTCTCAGCATTGTGAGGATCTAAGACATCTCCAGAGGCCTCGGGATGGAAAATGCTGTCCACATCCAAAGAAAGAACTATGGAAGTTGAATCGTTATCACTTATTTTTACCTTCTGTTGAGTTTTGTTTCATCTTTCTGATGGTTCCTCCTATTGGTTTTAATTTTTACTTACAACTTCGCTAATGTGAAAATATGTATCATGGGTATGTAAATGTAAAGCCTATATCAGACTGTGTGCCGTCTTGGGGAGTGTGGGGGGGGAGGAAGGGGGAGAAAAATTCTCAACTCAAAAGCATATGGAAGTGATTGTTAATAAATTAATAAAATTTTTAAAAAATAAAAAAATAAAAATAAAAATAAGGAACAAGATAACAGATTTTCCCTCTAAAATGATAAAGGGTTTTTTTTAAGTCTTCTGTTTAATGGTGCAAATCTTCAGCTATCCAGAATGACCCAAGCACCTGGAATGTTCTCCCACTCCCACTGCCTGTATCTGTTTAAATCCTCCCCATCCTTCAAAGCTCAGCAAAAACGGTACCTTTCATTATGTATTCTAGACTCCTCTCCCAACAAGGAAGCACATGTTCTTCTCTCAATTTCAGTAAAATGTAAATTCCCCCCCACACACTTTTGTTATGGCACAGACCACATTACGCCTAGCAGTACAGTCACATGAGCACCGGGTTTATCTCCCCTACTACAATATAAGCTCCCTGAAGACTGTCCTTTGCATGCAGTAGTACTCCATAAATGTTTGCTGAAAAATGAACCTCATTTTTTAGGAAAAGATTATGATTTTTAAATTACCACAAGAATTATCATCAGATCACAGTTTTATCTTACAAGAGTCAACAATTGGTTACAATTAGAGTCTTTCAAAATAATCACCTAATTTCAAAAGAAAAACTATCTTAAGATGCCTCCCCTTTTATATTTTATATTAAATTATATATTTCATATAAAATTCCACATGACTAAGACATATGACAACATAAACTAAGGCAAATTATTGTCCTAATATTAAAATACATTATACTTATGACCATATAAAACTGATGATCACCAAGGAAAAAATACCTGAGTTCTCTTATGTACAGAACCCTCACCATAGCCCTAAATTAACACAAATTTCTTATGTATTATACTTCACTTGAAGGAGCAAGAACACGAAGTTAATTTAACATGTTAATTTTGTATAGTGAAGAGTATATTCCATTGTCAGATTTTTGTCAGAAACATCACTTCTAGAGACAGAACTAAAATAAAAGACATGTTTCAAGATGTAGATTCCACCTCCCCTTTAAAGAGTTGAGAAATCTGCTCCCTGTGACAATCTCAGCAAGACTTCCTTCCCAGAAGAACTTCATTTAAAGAAATTTTGTGAAAGGAGGATCCATTAATGGAGGTCAATGCTTTCATGAATACACAGAGATATTCCATAACTAAATATTTGCATTTTAAAATATTAGGGATCCTGATCCTACTGTTGATACATTAACTATAAATGAATTTTAGCTACATGGCCAGATTCAAAATAAGATTCACATAGCAAAACTAAGAATATTTAGTCCCTAAATTTTCCAAACCTCCCCGGTGAATTTCACCTGAGAAATGACTACCCTCATATTTTGGCCAAAGCACTAATGGCCTATGAAGAGAGGATCTGAATCCTGTGAGTAAAAAGTAAGTATAGAAGCTATCTGAGAAATCCTATAAACGAACACCTCCCTGCCAAGCTTCATTTATTAGATCTAAGGTGCTAGCTCATGAATTTAACAATAACAACAAAAAAAAGTTCCTTAATATACTTCACAAAGTTTTTCCCATTGAATTTAGGAACACACTCTAAATAAAAATCAAGAAAAAGCATCCACAGATAACAGTCTCAAAGGGATGGGCCTCCACTCCTTTATAATCTCCTTTTATAATCGAGCACCCAGCCCCAAAGAATTGTTACATAAATGATAAAAGATATCACTTGTGAGCCTTTTTAATCCAATCACTGTGGTCCCTACACCAGAACTCATCAAGACTACATTCATTAGCATAAAGCACAGAAAACATACAAACTGAAATACTGAAGAAAAGGGGGGAAAAAACCATAACCTTGAAAAAAACTACTGTCTGTATACCACTCACCTCAGGAAAGTAAAGACTGTAAACAGGGTGTGTAATCTTTGATTTGGTTTCCAGCAGAGCTCTCTCCTTCCGCTGTATACTTTGTTGTAATTCTTGCCACTCCTATTTAAATAAATGACAAATCATTTTACTGTTAAATCAGGCAATGAGGCTAACATAATATATTCTCTTAAATAAGTCATTCTACTCTGAGGCCTACATAATATATACTTTACCTCTTTCTATGAATTAAAGCAACAACCCCACCCCATATTTGCAAATCCTAAAAAAAAAATACTGTTTCTGTTTATATGTGTCCACATTTCAGTTGTGCTGTTAATTGTAGTTTCATGTTAGTACATAATGCATATTGTATATAATTATATGCCTTGCTCCCAACTTCTCATTATATCCCTCAATAATCTTTTCTTTTTTAAAAATGTATGCAACATACCCTTTGATCCAGCAATAGCACTTCTAGGGCTACATCCCAAAGAGATCAAACAAATGGAAAAAGGACCCACATGTACAACAATATTCATAGCAGCTCTTTTTGTGGTGGCAAAGAATTGGAAATTGAGAGGATGCCCACCAACTGGTGAATGGGTAAGCAAGTTGTGGTATATGAATGTAATGGAATACTATTGTGCTATAAGAAATGATGAACAGGCTGACTTCAGAAAAACCTGGACTTGTATGGTCTGATGCTGAGTGAAGTGAGCAGAACCAAGAGGACTTTGTACACAATAGCAGCCACGTTATACAATAACTAATATTGTTAAACTGAACCCTTCTCAGCATTATGAGGATCTAAGACATCTCCAGAGGCCTCGGGATGGAAAATGCTGTCCACATCCAAAGAAAGAACTATGGAAGTTGAATCGCTATCACTTATTTTTACCTTCTGTTGAGTTTTGTTTCATCTTTCTGATGGTTCCTCCTATTGGTTTAAATTTTTACTTACAACTTCACTAATGTGAAAATATGTTTAATGGGTATGTGAATGTAAAGCCTAGATCAGATTGTGTGCCGTCTTGGTGAGGGTGTGGGGGGGGGGAGGAAGGGGGAGAAAAATTTTCAACTCAAAAGCATATGGAAGTGATTGTTGATAAACCAAAATAAATTAATAAAATTTAAAAAAATAAAAAATAAAGCGTATGCAACAGACAACCTTCTCACCATTTTTATTATCCTCTACTGATTTCCAGGTCATTCAGTCAATTTAAATGACTTTATCATACATTCAAGTCTTTCTCTTTCTCCCACTTTCTACTTTTAGCTTATTAATTTCAACATTCATGCAGACAATCCCTCTAATTCCTGACCACAACATTCTTCATCCTCAACAACCACCTTTCTTCACCTGAGGTAGTCTCACACAAGGCATGGTTACAGTATACCTTAGACTTCAATATCTCATGGAATTATACTAGCTCCAAGTTTCTGCATATTCAAATTCCACTCACCAACCCATAAACCTTAGTCTTCCATCTGTCACATTCCTCCATTACATCAAATGTAGCCTTTTTCATTCTCAATGGACCTTACCTGTCCCTTGACATTTTCCTAATTTTCCAGTCACTCCTGTGCTATGGTTTCATTTGTTTCCATACACATACAGCTCTGACTCCTTACTCTGCCACTGCTGCACTGTTGTAGTCACCACCCAAGAAGCCCTCACTCAACCCCACCCCCAACCTTCCAATATTCCCAGCGTGCTAATTCCTAATCCTGGGACCATCTGTCAGCCAATTTCTCTGCTACTGCATTACTGCTAGTAATGGACAAAGTCTGGACAAAAATCACAAAAAGCAAGCTGACTTCAGCCATTATAAATTTATAGGTATAACCTCACAGCTGGGCTTTTATTATTACCTAGGTATTCAAATGCAGAAGAATGGAAAAATTTCTATATTCCCTGTAGTGCCAGTGCTAAATCATTTCTCCCTTAAACCCCTGATCACCTCTCACTCCCACAACAGATGACCTAGCCCCTACTTTACTGAGAACACTGAAAGCATTCCAGTAACTTGAAGTACCATCCTTTCTCCTCTGAAGTCTCAAAAGAGGTATCCTTACAATTCAATGCCAAGGATAATCCCTCTACTTATGTTCTTGGATTGCATTGTCTCTTGCTTCCAAGGACCTTAACTCTCTTCTCATTCCCTTTCACTTATGCATCTGCAATCTTTCTCTCTGCACTAGCTCTTTCCCATATGCCAAAAATAAGCTTGGGTCTACCCAATCTTAAAAAGTCTTCTCTTGATTCTTTTACCTCATATAATTACTCTCCAATTTTTCTATTTCCCTACAATTCCCTACCGTCCCCACCCCACCCCACCATCCATAGTGAAACATCTTGAAAAGATACCCTACAAACAAAACCTCCACTCTGATACCACCTACCTTCTCAATCCCTTGCAATCAATCTGGCTTCTGTCCATAGCACTCTACCCAAACTAATCTCAAAGACCAGTGACTTCACAATAACCAAATTTAATGACCTTTTTCCAGTCACTACCCTCATCAATCTGACACTGTAAACCATGTTCCCCCTCCTAAACACTCTCCTCTCTTGGTTTAAAAAAAAAAGCATTATTGTGGCACTCCCAATCTTCTAACAGATTTTTCACTGTTTCCTTTACTGATGACTTTTCTTCCCATTGCCTCAAGGAAGTACTCCCCAAAATTCTCCCCTCATCCCATTTCTCTCTATACTCTCCTTCTTGGTAATCTTACTCACTCATATGATTCCAACTATGACTTCTAAAGGGATGACTCCCAAATCTTTATTTCTAATCCTTCCTCAGAACTCTTTTCTAGGCTACAGGATCCACACCACTTTTCTATTGGACAACTGTCCCTGGGTGCTCTAGATGTACTGAAAATTCAACCTATCCAAAACCCATTTATCTTCCCCCCAAAAAAACAAGTTCTACCTTTTTACTTCACCATTATTTGTCAATAGTACCATCATTTATCCAATCTCCTCACACAGGAAATCTTGGTGTTATCTCTGACTTGCCTCTTATCTTTACTCTTCCAAACAGTTACCAAATCCTATCAAGTATATCTCCAGAGTATATCCTAAATCTATGTCCTTCCTCCCTCTCACCCTTCCACCCTATTTTCATTACCACTACCCTCGTAGAGTCCTCGATAATAGTGAACATCTATACATCACCCTAAAGTTTGTAAAATGCTTTACATATATAGGGTATCCCAAAAACGCTACTACAGTTTAAAGTTTTATGAGCTTAAATGTACTATCTCACTTGCTCCTCATAAAGAGCTATGATTATCACCCCCATTTTACAAATAAGGAAACTGAGACTAAGGGGATGACTCGCCCGTGATCCCAGACAAGAGCCAGAGACAGGATTAGCCCTCATCTTTCTGATTACAAGTCTAGCACTCTTCCCCTCTACTACCCTACTGCCTAACCACTTTCCTCAATGACTACAATAGCTTCCTAACTGGTACTTCTGCCTTTATTGTTTCTCTCATCTAATCTATCCATTAGTAATCTTATGACAAAATATAGTAATGTCACATTTCTGGTCCAAAACCCTAAACTGGATCCTTTAAATGCCTACCAAATAAAGTTCTGATGCATACTATGTATACTTTTCTTATTTTCTAATACTACTGCCCTTCATGCACTTGTTTGCCATCCCCTCTCTATGACATAGACTTTCCTCAAGCACAAGCATTTGCTTATATTATCTGCTAGACCTAAAATGTCTTGTGCTGCCTGTTTAACAATTTCTTTAATGTTCAATTCAAATACTAATCTCTTTATTGAGTAATGAATTCCTCTTCCTTAAACCCTACACAACACTATAATTAAAATTATCACATATACTTTTATATTTCAGTTGTGCCACATAATGCAACTAGACGTGAAGTCCCATGTTTCTAAGTTTTCCACCTGTCCCATTTCCTTGCACAGTGCTCTGGACACAATACACACTTAATTTCTGTTTGAACTAAACTATTAATATTGAATCAGTAGTGGTGTGCTCAGTACAGAACATTTACTGTGGATTACTTGTGGTTGGCTGTCCATGCATTCAATGTCCTATACTGTTCTCTGAAGTAGTATCAGCTTTTCTCTTACTAATCCAATCAGGATTAGGAGACAGACTTAAGGAAAATTCCAAGGTATAGGACTTTCTAGTTCACAACTCACTTCTGGTCATCTGGTAAACTTAGTACAGTTTGTCCCTGCATTCCACAGATTGCTGCTAGCAGAGAAGTCACAGTAGTGGACCACCTCAGACCTAAGACCTTTTCTCTGGTAAACACTGGTCTAGTGATTAAAGAATGGGTTAAGGAGTGAAGAATAAGATCTATTAGACTGTGGCCCAACTTGCTTTCTGACCTTGACTAAAAATTGCTCATTATAAAGTAAAAAACCAGATAATTATACTATTAAAAGGACATAGTTTTTTTTAATGTTTTTAATGAGGGGTTTTTTTTCCTCATATGAGTAAACAGAGGTACAGTTCAGAAATCTAATAAGTTCATAATATAAGGCTTACTGCTTCATCATCTTTGTTCTGTTTTTCATCTTGTTCTCTGTCAGAGTCTCTGTCACTTCCATCATCTTTTTCACTTTGAGAGTCCCTATTTGTTTCTTCTTCCTCAGAGTCACTGCCTTTGTCAGATACATCGTCATCATCTTCTTTTATAGCAGCCTCCTAGGAAGAAAAGGAAGCCACAGAAAAACACTTAATTACCTGGGACCAGAAAGGGAAAAAATGTTACACCCCAACTAAGGAATCCCAGCTTAACTGCCTCAGGTAGAAAACTCCTTCAAGACATAGCTTAGTTTTGTTTTTTTTATCTTTGTATCCCCAAACCAAGAACAATAACAGATACTCAACAAAGTTTCACTGAAATGAATTGTGAAAAAATATTATTCAAGTGGCAAACTACTTAGGTGAGACAGTGTTGTCTGAGTAATTTAAGGAAGAGGCTTTCTAAAGTCTGCTTTCAAATGAAATGCTAACAATGTTTTTATTTAAAAGTTTTAAGATCTAATAGATATTTCAAAATATTAAATATTTCTGCATTGTTAATTTTATGTTATCTGCATTTCATACTCATTACTTGGTGGATCCACCATTTTGTCAGTGTGGGTATTTACTTCTCCCACAGTGATGACAACCTATCATCCTGCACTCAGCCCCTCTGAACTTAGTGAAGTCTGGTCCCTGATGACAGATGTATAAACTCATCACTAAACACAAATTCAAAGCCCCTTCCCATCTACTAAAATAGACTTAAAATGCAGGGATGCCTCCATGCTCCAAAGAGTATGATTCTATTGGGCAATACATTTTTTATCCTTAAAAAAAATTTTATTTTTATACTTAGAATATACCATGGTTATCATAAGGAGGGTAGGAGGTCAGGAGGTCCCCTGCTCTCACTCTCTGGGAGATCATATTAATGGTTGTTGGGTGGGGAAAGACAGGGAGATTGTGTATGATGAAGGCATTTTCCAAGAAACAAGTAAAGGTGCTACTTAGGGGAGAACACAATTGCTCCCGAGATTATCACTGGTACAGAAAGGAGGTTCCAGGCTAGGATAGCAGAAAAGTGGGGCTGTATTGAGTATTCGGTTACTCCCTTTCCCCATTCCCAAAGCTGAAGCTGAGACCTAAAAGAAGGAGAAACAGGCCTTCCCCTTTCTAGTCTAATTCACAGGCTGGTTTTGTGATTTTCTTAATAAATTTTAGTTATGAAACAGTAAAAACATTATTTTTGTTTTGTTGGGATTTCTATACCCAACTGTGTAATATATTCTTCCCTCTTTGAATTAGTACAGATGAGAGTAAGGTTCAAGCATTGTCCTCTCCCTACCATTTTCTCCTCCACTATAAAATAAGTCTTATTTGCAATGCCTTTTATGTGAGATAATTTTCCCCTTTCTCCCTTCTTCCAATACATTCCTCTTTCTCAGCCTTCTGTTTTTCTTTTGAGAGCATCCTAACATCATAATCACATTCACAGACTCTGTCTAATTAGACCCCCTCTAACTGCCAAAATGATAAAGTTTTGGGGAGTTATATGTATCATCTTCCCACAGAGTGAGTATAAAATAGTTTAACCTTAGTAAGTTCATGAATTCTCATTCGCGTTAACTTTTTCATGTCTCTCATTTGAGTCTTGTATTTAAATGTCAAAATTTCTATTCAGTTTTAGTCTTTTCATCAGGAATGCCTGAAAGTCCTCTATTCATTGAATATCCATTTCCCTCCCTGTAGAATTACTCGTGGTTGCAATTCTAGCTCCTTTTGCCTTCTAGAATATCATATAACAAGCCCTCTACTCCTCTGCACCAGTAGCTACTAAATCCTGTGTGATACTGACTATGGCTCCACAGTATTTGAATTCTTTCTGGCTGCCTGCAGTATTTTTTCCTTCACTGGAAACCCTGGAATTTTGCTATATTCCTAGGAGTTTTCATTTTGGGATTTATTTCAAGTGACAGGCAAATTTTATTTCTACTTTGCCTTCTGGTTCTAAGATATCTGGGCAATTTTCCTTTATAATTTCTTGAAACATGCTGTCCAGGCTCTTGTTTTGATCATGGCTTTTAGCTAGTACAATAATTCTTGAATGATCTCTCCTTGATCTATTTGCCAGGCCAACTGTTTTTCCAATGAGCTATTTCACATTTTTTTCTATTTTTTTCTTTAATTCTTTTGACTTTGTCTTATTGTTTCCTGATGTCTCAGGGAGTCATTATCTTCCACTTGCCAATTCTAATTTTTAAGGAATTATTTTCTTCAGAAAGGTTTTATATTTCTTTTACCAACTGGCCAATTATGATTTTTAAGAAGTTATTTTCTTAAGTATTTTTTGAACCTTTTTTTTTACCAAGGTATTGATTCTCTTTTCATAATTTTCTTGCATAAGTCTTATTTCTTTTCCCAATTTATCCTCAACTGCTTTTACTTGATTTTTAAAATCTTTTTTTTTTGCTTACTTTTAATCTCCTTATTTAGTTCTTCCAGGAATTCTTATTGGATCATGTACAACCTGTAGTTTTCTTTGAGGTTTTGCTTGTGGACATGTTCGTGTCATTGTCTTCTGAGTTTGTGTCTTGAACTTTCATGTCACCATAATAGATTTTTATGATCAGTTTTTTTTGTTTGTTTATTTTGGGGGGGGTCATTTTTTCCAGCTATTTCTTGTCTAGGAACTTTATGGTACAGTTGGGTTCTGCTCAAAAGGAGTAGGGGTAAAAGGAGTAGGGGTAAAGGAGTAGGGGTAAATGGAGAGGGGTCATTGTCCCAAATTTCTGCCTTTTCCATGCTGCTGTTTCTACAGCTAGTTCTGCGGGGGCCTGTAAGTTTTCACTGCTTCCAAGGTGGTATGATCCAGGGAAAGGTGCAGTCACACTTACTTGGTCTGAACTCTGGTCCTTACCCACCTAAAATCTCTGTTTTCTTGCAACTACAAGCACTCCTCTCTGCCCTAGAACTGCAACCCAGAACTAGTTAATGGGTAATGGAACTGCCTGGTCCTATGCAAGTACTAGGAAAGGGTTCCTCTGGAATCACTGAGCAGCTGTTCAATATCCTTACCACTCCCGGGCATTAAGAGTTCCTGTTTCTAATGCTACTGCTGTCACTATCTCTTCCACGTCCCACAGCTAGAGTGCACTAAGCTCCAGTCCCCACCTCAGTGTCAAAGGCCTCCCCTTCTGATCTCCCAAGTTGTCCTGGGCTGGAAAAACGTCCCATCCCAACCTTTCGTTATTTATGCCACTTTAGAATTTGATCTGATGCATATTTTAAAGTTGTTTAAAGGGGAATATTGGGAGAATTCATCTAGAATGTTCCTTTTCCTTGGCCATCTTGGCTGCACCCACCACCTCCAAAAAAATTTTAAGTACTCTATAGTGATGAGAAAATGAATCATTCTGTGTGCATGTGTATTTTAGTAACCTGTGACAAAATGCTGAGTCATCACTCTCCCAGATGCAACCAATTTTGGAAGAAAGGTAGGAGGATGGAGGAAGGAGAAGTACAAAATTATTAACTTGCTCAGCAGCTACTACTTTGGAGTCTTTTCCCAATTCGCTTAATAGAACAATGAAAATGACAATTCAACTGCACAGAGAATACTTACACTCCCAACAACCCCATTTGCCTGCTTTTGCTTCTGCTGCTTTGACTGGGGCAATGGCACAGAGGCTGCCTTTTTTTTCAAAGGTTTCTTTTTTTTTGATTTAGCAGTTTTCTTAGGTCCTTTACTTTTCTGCTGCCATCCTTTCGTCTTATTCTTGTTGGCATCACCTTGCTACAATACACCAAAAAAGGATAAGTGCAAAGTATAGCACATTAAAAAATACATATACCTACAATTAATTTTTTATGCAATCATCTTAACTACACATACACAAACTGAAAACTGTGGTAATGGATATGTTTTGGAAGTTAAATAAGTAAATTTTTAGATTAAAAATGTTATAATAAAAGCTTTTTTTAAACCTCCTAAAATCTACATGAATAAGTCAATCAGTTCCCCAAATAAAAGATTATTTCTTCAACCAATTAGTGCAGATGCTATCATGAAAGCCCAAGTTCTTAATTAACTTGCCCCATCTTCTGCCAGCTGCTCTTCTGCAGCACAGATAGACTGTTCCTTTTCAAATACTTCCTGAGGGGAGAAAAAGGGAAAAAAAGAAAAACACTTAAGTCAATTGCTAATTTACTACCAAATAATAAAGCATTTTTACAGCAAAACAATACCAATAAAAGGTGTTTTCACCCCTCAACAACACTTTATCTAATTATAAAAATATACCTCCACTGCTTATAACCTATCATATCTACCTTGGAAATTTTTAGATGTGCAGTATCAATATGAATTTCTTGAATGAAAAGCACAATGTAACAAAGAACAGTTAATTCATATTTCACTGCAATTCTTAATGTGTCTTTAATTGAACATATAAAATATTTCATTTAAATTTTATTTTAGCGTAATTCCCAAGAGTTAAAACATGAATTTTTCTATTCTTTTTAAAACTTGAGAGAGTGTGAAAAGCCAGGTATTGGAGTCAGGAAGAGACTGGGTTAAGTCTCTGCTCTCTCACATACTAGCTGTGACTTTGGACAAATTACTTAATCTCTCAATGCCCTAGGCAACTCTCTCTTAGGCAGAGGTTCTTAACCTATGGTTCATGAACTTGAATTTTTTTTAATACCTTAATTATTTTATTACAATATAATTATTTCCTTTGCAATCCTTATATTTTATTTTATGCACTGAAAAACATTCTGAGAAGTGATCCAAGCTTCGTGAGCTGCCAAAGAAGTCTGTAAGAAGGCTATAAAGTTTCAGAATAATTGTTTATCTGCATTTTTGAAGGAAATTTCCTCATCAAGTATTCTCTACAACAATGAAATCACAGATCCAGACCAAAGAAAAGATAATAAAACCAAACTGTACTAGCAGCATTATTTTCTGAAATTTAAAACTACAATGAGCTTAAAATAGTTTACTCAGCAAAATAATAAATAATTACAAAGCACTATAAAAATAGATTACATAAAACTGACTGCATCTTTAAAATGTTACTGTTTTCTAACCAGATCAACTAAAGAAGACCAAGGTGATTAAGGTTCCATAATAATAGGATTTTAATCATAACAAGAAGAGAGACACCAGGTTGCAAAGAGATGGAATAATTATGGCTTTTACAGCTTTAATGTCCTTTCCGATATAATTCAGCTAAGATACTTAAAAGAGTATCAGGGTCCAGTATTAATTATAGCAAAATTTTGGTACAACAGTCAATCTGAAAAGTCTTTTTGAATTTACTTTGTTTTTTATCTCAACTTTACTCGGATTTCCATTAGAAAATACTGCTATTCAGAAAACAAGCTAGGAAGAATGATTTCAAATTGAGTGTATACAGACAGTTCTTGCTTTACATATGCAGATAGGTTCTGTAGATTTCTACATAAAACAATTTTTACATGCAAATTTGCCCACAGATATGGTTGAAGGGAAGGAGGCAGACAGGAAGGGGTCTGCATGCCCATGGAGGGTGAAGGTCAGGACACAGTTTAAGGGCATGTGAAGACCAGGGACAAAGAAGCAAGAGGAAGACCATGGGGGAGCCAGACATGTGGGGGCCTGGTCAGAAACAAGAGGAAGAATACAGAGAAGGGGTAGATACATGAAGGCCAGGATGACATGCAAGGATAAATAAGCAGTACTCAAGCGTGGATGGACAGAAGACAGACATGTGGGAGTGAGAAAGGACAAAAGTCTCCTCTCTCCACATTAGAAGTCTCAAGACAAGCCCTCAATCAGCATCAATGGCAGTCTCTCTGTCAATCTGTTCTTCTGCTTTCACTTGGAGGGTTTTTTTAAGGTTTTTGTTTGTTTGGTTGGGTTTTTTTGGAGGGGCTGGGAGGCCTCAGAGCACAAAGCCAAGGGACAGGAGAGGAGAGAGCGAGAAAAAGAGAGAAAGTGACAGAGAGAGAGAGAGAGAGAGCGCGCGCGCGCCGAGAGAGAGAGAGAGAGAGAGAGAGAGAGAGAGAGAGAGAGAGAGCGAGAGAGCGAGAGCGAGAGAGCGAGAGAGAGCGAGCGAGAGAGAGCGAGCGCATAAGTACAAGCCCAGAGCACTGTACTGTACAGTAAAGTTAACATAAGTCTTTTTTTTGGAATGCAAATTTCTTTCATAACTTTTTATGTACAGTCAAATTTGAATAATGCAAATTTACATAAAGCAAGAACTGCTTTTTACATTTTTCGAGGTTTTTATTGATCAGCTTAATTTCTTTTTTTAATTAACTTTTTTTCAATTACCAAACATTTATTTTCTTTCCTACTCATCTTCCCAGTACTCCAAGGAGGGAAGAGATGGGAATGAGGGATGATGCCTAGCACTGTATTTCCCAGTTCCTTTTTTATTTTTACTATTTGCCAAAATGTTGGCCAATTAATGCCCCAGAAACAGTAAATCAGCATGCTTGACTTTCTGCAGTCCCCACTAGGTTAATTAGTTCCTATCCTTTATCTTCGACAATTTGCTGGATGTAAGGTGACACCAAAGAGTTGTTTCGATTTTCATTTTTCTTATTAGTGACTGGGAACAATCTTTCATATAACTATTAATAGTTTGTAATTCCTCTTTTCATAAGTGTTTATATTCTTTGACTACTTATTTATCAGAGAATATCTCTTGGTCTCCTATATTTGTGTTAATTATATGTCTTGGATTTTAAACCTTTATCAAAGATATCTGATACAAAGATTTTTTTTTCCAATTAAAAGCTTCCCTTATTCTAGTTGCATTGATTTTGTTCATGTAAAAGCGTTTCAATTTTATGTAACTGAAATTAGCAATTTTATCTTTGTGATTACCTCTGTCCTTTATGTTTGCCTTCCTCCTTCTTTCAAGGAATCCAAAGTGTTTTTCATATCTAAATACTCTTTTTCTTTAGATGGGAGGTAATAATTATGCCAGATAGTCTAGCAATTGTCTCTTAAGCTTCAATGAGTATCCCTAACATATTAGTGTCAGACCTGAGGGCCAGCAATCTGAACATACAGGGATTTGTTATAATATATGCTAAGAGCTCACTAAATGGCATAATCACATAATCACTAGCTTATCTAATGTTTCGTAATGAAATAAATACTACTTATTGTTGATCAAATCAATCAATCATCAATATTAAAGCACATTAAATGCTTATGATGTGCCCAAAACATTGTCTCTTTGCAAATGGGAACAAAGGGAATTGGGAACATTTTTCTCGACAAAAAATGGATATAAAGCTACTTTCCTTTATCTAATTAGATTTGTTGTGATAGGTAAATAAATAGTATAATAATATAGACATCAATTTCCCACAGCTGTACCTAGTTAAAGAAGAAGAGAGTACACATAGCATCACAACTTTACTTAGACAAGAAATATCAAGTACTAGGGAGCAGATGGGCCATTTCCATGCCCAGAACTAACATTTGAGGAAACAGGTTCAAGAAGCATTAAGTGACCTCTATAACTGTCTTCACTACTGACCACTGTAATACTCCTCCCTCTTTTCCTGCCCCCAACCCATATTTCTCTATAACAGTTCACCTAGCTCTCCCTATACAGCTTCCCTCCCCTAACCCCACCCCCACCCTCAACCTAGAAAACATGCCAAACTAAACTCTGACCAGGAAAGCCAAGAAAAAGTCACAGTGAGTTATTTTTCCAGCCCAGGGTAGCTTAAATGAGGCCTACTGACACTGGGGTGGAAGCTGGTCTTGAGCATATTGAAGCAATGCCTGTATATGGAACAAGGAACAAGTTCCAGAATTATAACAGTGTGGCTCTGAGCCCAAGAGCAGAGGTGGGACTCAGTTCTAACCTTTATTCCACACATAAGACTACAGTGGAATAATTTAGGTCAGGAGATCAAACCAAAGAGGAGCCAGACATTCCGAATCTGCAGAACCTTCCAGCTAGCCAACTATGACTGAGTACAGCAGCACTCTACAGAAACTCAACATTTCACAAGCTAACAGACCCAAACCAGGTCAGGAATTTGCAGAGGGCAAACCAGGAGAGTAGTGAACAGACCTCTTACCAGATCACACCACTTGAGAAGCACACAAAAGCTTACAGACCCCTTTCTACTGAAAGCAATAGGACATTAAAAAAAAAATCTCAGGCTAGACATCCCACACAAACCCTCAGAAATGAGCACAACCCAATTCAATATTAAGTAAAAGCAGGTTGGAAAAATGAGTAAACAATAACAACAACAAAAAAAGAACTCAACCACAAAAAATCTACTGTGGTGACAAGGAAGCTCAAGATACAAACACAGAAGACAATGAAACTATCTACAAGCTAAGCCTCAAAGTAAAATACAGATTGGACACAAGTCCAGTAAGAATCCCTAGAAGAAACAATTTAAAAAGGAGCAAAAAAATTATTCTTAAAATCAATTAAGAAATTGAAGAGACGCCCATAGATAGAGGAATGGCTCAACAAGCTGAGGTATATGGTTGTAATGGAATATTACTGTGCTATAAGAAATCAAAAAATGACTTCAGAAAAACTTAAAAAGACTTACATGAACTGACACAAAGTGAAATGAACAGAACCAGAACACTGTATACAGAAACAGCAATATTGTAAAATGAAGAACTGTGAATGACTTAGCTATCTCAGTAATACAATGATTCAAGACAATCTCAAAGGACTCATGATGAAAAATGCTATTCACCTCCAGAGAAAAAAGTGATATTGTCTGAATACAGACTGAAGTATACTATTTTTCACTTTCTTTTTTTTTTGTTCAAGTCTTCTTACTCAAAATGACCAATACAGAAATGTTTTACATGACTACACATGTATAACTTATACTGTTTACCATCTCAGGGAGGGGGTAACAGAGGGAAGGAGGGATAGAATTTGTACTCAAAAGTTAAAAAAAAAAAAGATTAAAAATTATTTTTTTATATATAACTGGGGAAAAATAAAATATTTTTTTAAAAAATCAATTAACAGCTTGAAAAAGAGGAACAAAAAAAACACTGACAAAAATAACTCATTAAAAATCAGAATTGACCAGATGGTAAAAGAATGACAAAAACTTCCCTGAAGAAAATAACTCTTTAAAAATTAGAACTGGGCAAGTGGAAGTTAATGACTCCATGAGACATCAAGAAACAATAAAACAAAGTCAAAAGGCTGAAAACTTTGAAGAAAATGAGAAATATCTCATCAGAAAAACAGACAGAAAATAGACCAAGGAGAGATTATTTAAGAATTACTGTATTACCTGAAAGCCACAACCAAAAAACAAAGGACCAAGACATCATATTTCAAGAAATTATAAAAAAAACTGCCCAGATATCTCAGAACCAGATGGCAAAGTACAAATTGAAAGAATCTACCAGTCACCTCCTGAAAGAAATCCCAAAATGAAATTCCTAAAAATATTACAGCCAAATTCCAGGGTTCCCAGGTCAAAAATATTACAAGCATCCAGAAAGAACTAATTCAAATACCATGGAGCTATAGTCAGGATCACATAGGATTTAGCACCTTCTACACAAAAAGCTTGGAATGTGATATTCCAGAAGGCAAAAGGAGCTAGGATTACAGCCATGAATAACACCTACCCAAAAATGATTATACTCTTACCAAGGAAAAAATGGATATTTAATGAAATAGAACACTTTCAAGCAATCCATGATGAAAAGATGAGAAATGAAGAGAAAATCTGACATTCAAACAAAAGACTCAAAAGAAGAATAAAAAGGAAAACACTTATCAGAAATTATAAGGGGCTAAACTAGGATGAGTTATTTACATTCCTATATGAGAAGATGATACATGTAACCCCTTATTACTATGGCTGTTGGTGGGAGTCTACTTAGACTAGAGGGCATGGATATGATAATCTCAAAAGCAGAACAAAGAGTGAGAAAGAAGAATGTACTTGGAGGAGCAGGGGAAGAAAAGAGAAAGAATGGGGGAAATTATTTCGCATAAATGGAGTGCACAAGGAAGAATTTATACAATCAAGGAAGGGTGGGGGCAGGGGGTAACACTTGAACTTCACTCTCATCTGAACTGGTTCAAGGAGGATATACAAATACTTAACAGCAAAACTCCCAGGAATAGAGGAAGAGAAAGATCTATATCCTAACCCACAGGTTAAGCTAGAACCAGGGGTGGGGAACCTGCAGCCTCGAGGCCACATGAGGCCCTCTTTATCCTCAAGTGGGGTCCTTTGACTGCATCCCAACTTCACAAAACAAATCCCCAATTGTTTTGACACTTGGAAAATCTTCATTTACAAATCCATCTAGTTAAAGTCAATTATCACCACTAAAGACTAAATCTAATGTTTCATTGTCTGATGAAGGTAAAACTTCAAGTTCTTGAAGGCTACACACTAGTGGAACACAAATGGTGGCATATCCTACCAAGCTGGAAAGGTTTTCAGTAAGGGCCCAGGAGAGAAGAAAGGATGAAGTGCAACAATTTGCATCAGTGAAAAAAGTATCCACACCAATGAAATCACAGAAAATTTTAAGGTAAAAGCACCACTAAAACAAATCTAACCAAAAAGAATACATTCCACATTTTTAGATTCATTAAGCAAAGCAACAAAGAATTACTCACCGCCATTGTCTGCCTTGTCAATTTGACCAATACTGTGACAAGGGATCCTACGGTGATATTATTACTATCTTCATCATCTAATACTGTAAAACAAAAGGAATAAAGTGTTAAAAAATGAAAATCATGAGGCTCTTAGTTCTAAGTCAACCTAATCAATAAAATTTCAGCAAAACCAACTCAAAGCAGAAGCCCTATGAATTTAATATTTTGGTGTTCACCAAATAAACTGGAATTCAAACATTAGCTAATACAAAATTACAATTCTGTAATAGCCTGAAAATTATACAATAATTTTGTATTAAGCTGGCATTACTATATTCTCTTAGGAATTAAACTTATAGAGTAGAATCACAGTGACTAACTTACTGTCTTCTATGACACTGTAGTGTCCTGGTTGTAACCTTTATTCTTCTCCAAAAATGTGGGCATAAGCCATGGCTCAAGTCCTCAGCTCTGTTTGCTCTCTAACTCTCCCTCTTTCCAAGACTTCATCTATCCTCACTGCTTAAATTATCACTTATAATACTACAATGCTAACCTTGATTTCTCTCCTGAGCTTCAGTCAATAATTATCTGCCTGAGGATCAGCAACTACAGAGCTACTAATGGTTTTTACATTTTTAAATAAAGTTTTATTATATTTAAAAATGAAAGACCATTCTTAGCTCACAGGACATGCAAAAACAGGTTTTGGGGGACCCCGATCTACCTGGATATTCTGCCTTCATCTCAAGCTCAAGTATCTCTTAGTTTCTCTATTTTTGTTGCCTCGTTAACCTTCCCTTGAAGGTTGGAAGGCATTCTTGATTCCACCTCTTCCTTTCCCACTATTTCCAATGAGTTACTAAAATCATGCTGTGATTTATCCACTGCCTCTGCCTCTCTAAGGCTTTCACCCTGTGAATACATCCTACATTCTGCTGCTAGATTAACTTTCTTAAAATACTACTTTGCATACTTCAGCCCTCTTTTTCAAAAAACTTTCAGTGGCTCCCCACTGCTTACAAGACAAAACACTGACATTTAAGGTTTTCTACATTCTGACCCCTACATCTCTTTCCATTATTCTCTTCCGCATTCAACTATATGAGCCTTTGAAACTGAATTCATCCCATTAATTAATAATCTTAGCGTTCCATCATTCAACTAACTATAAATCAACCTATTATCAACACCCCTGTGGCATATAATGCCTATTAAGCAATCTTAATCAGAGCACATACCCCAAGTCAAGTTATTTAGTCCTTTGTCCCCCTAGCCTAGATGCATATGCAGATGGATTAAAAGATCAGGGAAACCTTCATGAAGATAGGAGCACTTGATCTTGCATTGAAAATTTAGCAGGAATTCCGAAGTGAAAAGGAAGAGTACAAAAAGGGCTAGAGATAGGGAATGGCATGAGGCAAGAAAGCACAAAATATATTTGAGGAAAATTAAGTAGTCCAGTTTGGCTGGAGCTTAGAGTACTTGATAGCAAGGTGAGTTGAAGTGTTAAGGATAAAAAATAAAGGCTGCCTCCTCCAGCTCTAAAATGTTACTTTCTACACACCTATTAATAGCAACAATTTTACCCCATAAAGGATATTAAGGAAAATAGTTTTACTTCTTCCTCAAAATTGAGCCTAAGGAACAAATATGAGAGTAAACACAAAAAATAGAGTAGAACAATGTAGAATACGTTTACGTCTTAGTTCACCACATGAAAACTATCTTTCTTTAAAAGATATGTAATTTGGAGCAACAATTTCTTTTATCTCACAATAGCAGTATTTCTAAACTTTGAGAATGAAAAATCCTCTATCACTACAGAAGTCTATATTCTTTGCAAAGTTAAGAAATGGATCTTAGTGCTATGTTGTCCGTTTCTATCCTGCCATGAGAGCCACATGGAGGAACACGTAAATGTGTAGGCTGAAAAACAAAAGAAAGATAAGGCAGAGGTCCAAGCAAGCCGACTGTATTGACAACAGAATGGCACCTGGATGAAGCCTTCAGAGACAGTACCTTATAGAAGACTTCACCAAGTTCCTATCATCATCTGAATCCTCCCTGACACATGACACTGCAGATTTACTTACTTCAAATCAATTCGTACAAATCAATTCACTTAGTTATGTGCTGGAAGTCTCCCAACTTTCTGGACTGAGTATTTTCTCTGTGCATGAGAATAGCACTTGAATAAGAGATCTTCTCTGCTTTTTTGGGTGGAAAAAAGTTTTGGTTTTGGCTTTTTTGCAAATTGTTCCATAAAATGGACTGTTCTCCCAAACCTAAGTCTCATATATATATTATTATACTAAGATAGCACTATACAGTCAGTCAGTAAAACTTATTAAGTGCTTATGTATCAGGCACTGCGCTAAGCATTGGGATACAAAAGTAGAAGAGAGTCCCTGCTATCAAAAGTTCACGGTCTTATGGGGGAGACAATATACAAGTAACTATGTACCAACAAGCTACATGCAGGATAAATTGGAAATAACCAATGGAAAGAAGTCACTACAATTAAAGGGGATCAGGAAAGACTTCCTGTAAAAGGTATGATTTTAGTTTGGACTTGAAGGGAGCCAGGAGGCAGATCTAAGGAGACAGAGTATTCCTGGCATGAGGGGATAGCCAGTGATCAGGAGATGGAATGTTTTATTTGAGAAAAAGCAAGGTTAGTGTGACTAGATTCTTGTAGGGGTAGAGAGGTATAAGATATAGTTCCAAAAAAATGTCCATCATCTATTTTTTAAAATACATTAAGTTCTCCTGACATGTGGGTTACAAGTAATGTTAGAGAGGGGAAAATTGTATTTTTTTATTTCTTAAGTAACTATATAAGCACTAATATTTCAAAGGGGCAACAGTGTTCATTGATGTAACACAGTCACTTACCCTGTGATTTTATGTCCATAGTCACAAATGGAAAACTACCAAGGACAGCCATAACCTCTTCATATTTCTCATCTTCTAAGAAGTGCAGTAAGTTGCGGCGATCAGATTCTTTTAAACTCACCAAATCCTGGATCGTTTTGATTTTGAACTTTAAAAAAAAGAAAAGAAAAGAAAAACAAGCTAAATAAGTCTATTAAGTATTAATGGGGGGAAATAAGCATTTTAATTAGATCTTCAATGACTTGAAAAAACGTTAAGCTACGTGTTCCATATTTTATGCTTTTCAAAGTATTGTTTATTTAGAATTTTAAAACATCAAATTCAACATTTTATTTGACCTTTTTCTCAAACAGAGCTAAACTGTTTGAAGGCACACAATGACACTTTGGGAAAAAAATAATTAAATGAATATTAAGATGCAACAACCAGCTTGATTATTACATATTACCATACAGTAACCTGGCAACAAAAAACATTTTCTAGAGACCATTTCATTTTTTTAAAAAAAGTGTCACTATACAATTATATCAATGGTGTCTGTCACCACTACAAAAACAACACAGTGGTTTCTATCTACCTGTATTAGAAACAAAAGCTATTCTCTTAAGAGTATTCAATGAAACCAAGACTAATCCAAACATGCAAACACTTATTTTAAAGAACCAAAACCTCGTCAACTATATACCTTTTTATGATTAGAAACTCGTCTAAGATTGTCCTCTTCAATATGAGGGAGCTGAAGAAGAGGAGATTTAAATTGCTGAAGGCCTTGAACAGACATCTGGGAAAGCTTCATGCAATTCTCCAGGGAACCCAAAGTTGGAGCACGAAACTCCCTTTCTTAGAAAGAATTAAAAAAACAAGGCTGCACTTTTTACATGCTTTACAATAAGTTAATATAACCAACACAAAATAAAGCAGAATCAATTTTGACATTTATACGCTGAAAGAAATAACATTATTTTATATCCAGCAAACCTCAAAGAGGAAAAAGTATACCTTCCAAGAAATAAACAAGAAAGGAAGGGTACTGTAAAAAATAAATTATCTTTTCAAAGGTTCAAAGAACACCCTGCCATAACCACTAGTTTGATAGTCACTTCTACTGACAGCCATAAGCTAACATATTCCTTTGTCAATAGCAAGAACAAGTAGATGGCATGGTAAGAATTTAGGTATCTTTGTTATTCTTTCCTGTGTTTTGCAAATAACTCTATAATGCTGATAGAAGAACATAAATTCATCTCACGAGCAGCTAAAGGTAAATTTTATCTTAAATTTAGATGTGCCTTTCTTCTCCTCTTAGAATTTCTCCCGTATCGACATATTCAAATCTTATAAAGCTAAATAAAATCAATCAGCACCTTTTCAAGAAAACTATCGCATTAAGTAGATAAGGCAAACATATTGTCAGCTTCACGAAGAAAATGAATGTGTTTTTAAAAACTAATCATGGTCTCACAATTTTTATTTCTGGAATCCTTTCTTCCCACTACTAAATCCTTACATACTCTTCAGAGAACATGAGACTTTATTATTTATTAGTACCAGTTCACTCCATAATTGTTAAGTCCCAGACTTTAAAAAAAAAAAGACAAGAAAGAATTACTCTAACTTCACTTTTACAATGGAGAATTACCTAACACCAAAAGAGTCTAAGGGAAAGAAAAGAAAGAGACAGGGTAAAAGAATTAAAACATTCAAACCTAGCAGTAACACTGAAATAAAACCCTAGGAAAAGAAATGTTTTCTTTGGAAAAAAAATGTTTATTTACCACTTCTATGTATATGACATCCAGACCTAATATCTAGCCCTAATCTCTCCCTACAGCTCTAGTCAAACCTGTGTCCCCTACTCTTTTAAGGATCTAGAACCTATCCTAAAAGCATCACAAACTCAATGGGTCCAAAACATAACTGATTATCTCTTTTCTCCAATCCTCTCCAAGTTGCCCCCACTCCAGCTTTCCTATTACCTTTGACAGCAACATCCTTCCAGTCACTCACACTCCCAATTTATCATTTTAGACTCCTCATTCTCATGCTCCCCACATATTCAATATGCTGTCAAATCCTGTCACTTGTATCTCCCACGTTTCTTATTTACATTTATTTCCTTCCACTCACATAGCCACCGAGTGCAGACCCAAAAGTCTTCTAATTCATCTCCCTCCCTCAAGTCCCTACACACTCTACCCTTCCCTCCACTTGGCAGCAAAGTGATTTTCCCATAGCACAGTTCTGACCATGTTGCTCTCCTCCTTAATAACTCTAGCAGCTTCTTATTACCTTCAGGGGCAAATATAAAGTCATCTATTTGGCATTTAGAGACCTTCAAAACATGGCCTTTTACTACTTTTCTAGTCTTCTTATATTTTATTTCTCTCCACATACCTGTGATTCAGCTACACTGGACTATCTGATGTCCCTTACACATGATATTCCATGTCTTCCCACTGGTTGTCCCCCATGCCTGAAATGCTGTCCTTCCTTACCCCTTTACCTGGCTTCCTTCAAGACTCTGCTCAAATCTCACCTTCCTCAGGTCAATCGGGGTACATATACTGTATGTACAGTTACTTACATTTTGCACATACATATTTACATGTTGGCTCCCCCATTAGAATGAGTTCCTTGAGGGCAACAATGGTGTTCTTGTCTTTCTTTGTACCACCAGTGCTAAATCAGTGCCTGACATATAATAAGCCCTTAATAAATACTTATTGGCTGACTGTCTGGAAACAAAGTGAACATCTACTAATTCTGCAATGGCTGAACAAACTACAGTATATGACTATAATGAATTTATTCTTGTGCCATAAGAAACAAACATGAGGAATTCCAAGAAATGTGAGAAAACTTGCATGAACTGATGCAGAGCGAAGCAGAACCAGGAAAATATAGACAGAGATTACTAAAACAAAAACAAAAATTACACTGAAAGACAATAAAATACTTATTAATTATAATGACCAATTTGGATCCCAGAAAAGTTATTATGGAATATTTCCCTCCTCTTATCAGAAAGGTGAGGAAGTAAAGTTATGAAATGTAGCATACACTGTCAAATATGCTCCCTTTTTCTAATGGTTTTGCTTTATTACAAGAGAAGGAAGTGTTAAGGGAAAATGCCTTTTGTTTTATACTTTAGTCATCAATAAAACTTAAAATAATAACAAATATTGGGATTTATCAGCTTATCATATCAGCTGAGACAAAGGAAGACAGAACAAAGACCTGAAAAAAAACATAACTAAGAGGATTACGCTTAGAAATGACACAACACATCCTTATGCTTATGTCCTGTTTTTCATTTTTTAAAAACTATTTGGTATTATATGTAAATAAATTAACTAATTCTTATTCTTTTGTTATAAGTATGTCTTTATATAAAATAAAAATGAAAAAGTAAAGAGGGAAAAGATAAATAAAAGTCCAAAACACTGATGGTCAGAATTCACTTAAGTATCAGTAAACCTGTGAATATTGAGAATTATAATCTACATATGCTTGCAAGAAAGAGGACAAAATAATTATGTTTCCTCCTCACCTTCTCGGCTCCGAGCCATTATTATTAGTTGGCAGATTACATTAACCATTTCTTGCAGTAAGGCAGGGCACTTTTTCAGGATAAACTGCTGATCTACAAAATAATCAAAGATCTCAGGGAAATCTTGCTAGTTTTTATAACTAGATCATCTTTATCAACTGTAGGAACAAGAACTATGCAAACTCACTTCCACATGTAAGAAAAACTTAGATATTTGCTTTGATTACAATTTTATAAGGTTACCTTAAAAAGTCTTCCTAAACTTTATCATAATGAAGTCAGGCAACCCTATGATCCCTCAAACCCAAAATTACTAAGAATTTTTAACATAAATCTTAAACTTAGGAACTTAATTTTCTACTTTTTTCTCCAACAAATTTAATCCTGCTTTACTTCAAAAGCTTGAGTAATTACCACCATTTGGTGAAATTTCCATGTTAACTACAATTACTGACAGGCAAAAAACTAAGAATAAATATCAAATGAACTCATTCAAACAAAGAGCATTTTTTAAAAGTGGAAAAAGTACTACTCAGAGTAATATTTAACTCTGTCATCCATCCTTATTATACCAAATGCAGAAAATATGATTCTGGCATCCACCATGTTTTTAACCTATACAAAAATGATTTTAAAAGAAAGAGGGACACAAGCCAACACTGAAAATTGATGAGAAGACACAAATGTTTATAAAGATCTCAGCAACCAAAGCAAAATAAAGCTCATTTATGACTTGAGTCAGTAATAAGAACTGCCATGATAATTCATCAATTAATCAATATTTAACTGTCTAGTTTTCAGAAACACCCATTAAGATTTCTTTTGTGGATTAAAAAGAAAGTTTTATAAATACTTTATCTTTTGTAAAATTTGAATTTAAAAAGATTCTAAAAATAAGTAACTTTCCCGAAATCACTGATGCTTCAAAAGACTCTCCAGTCCATTTTAAAATGTTTTGGACCAATGAAAGTTTTAATGGAAACTAAGCAAAGAAGTTTCAGTACTGGCCATGGATCTAAAACTATAAAAATGTATCTATAAAATCATCAAAGATCTCAGGGAAACTTTTCTAATTTTTATGACTAGATAATAACAGCCACAGAAGCATCCATATGGATCCCCTACCCTACCTCAACTACTACCCTCCCACCCTCAATCTATAAGATTGCTTTTGTAGAAAAGAGGGCCATTATCTCAAGGCTCTGAGAGCTTTTTTTGTTCTTGTAAGAAAAGCTACAAATAACTTGAAAGTAACCTTCCCAAAATTAGAATTGTCACCTTGAAACAAAACACTAAATTTTAACACATCAAAATATCTGACATATTAGGCTATTTGTAAAGTAATTACATAGCATATAGATTCTTTTTTAAAGGGTCCTTGAGCAATTATATGATTGAACAGAAATGAATAGCTAAATAAACACTATAGCATGAGGTCTAATTAAATCTGATGCTTTGGTCCCATTAAAGCCTTTTAGATGTTAGAATCATAATTACCTTCTTCAAGTGTTTCAGGAATTTTCATCCTAGCAAGATGAGATAGTAAAAGAACTCTGGCCTTCAAGCTGTATGGGCAGGTAAGTGGAGGCTCATTCTTCTTTAAATTAATACTGCCAATTTCTCTGATTAGCTAGGTAAATGAGATAAATACTTAACATATTTATACACACACACACACACACACACACACACACACACACACACGCATAAGCACTAGATTTAGTATCCAAACATTAAGCAAAATACTTTTGGAAATGACCTAACCTGGGGTATTTGAATGTTGTCAGCTGGTCTGCTTGTGGCATCTTTATTATACTGAGGATCAAATTCAGAGGCTCCAGCTAATACCATTATGAGACCTGCCAAAACAATAAAAATTAGCAAAATAAATCAATTGGCATATCTACTAAATTCCCCTAGACAACTTCATTAACACTAGAGCAACAGGTACTACTTTGTACCATACATCAGGATAAACTTCAAAGACGGCAGAAACAAATTTTCACTCTTTACTATGTATTCCTAGGGTATTATTTTGAGGAAGAAATATGCCTCATCACTAAAATTAATATGTCACCACAACTCAGCAGAAACATACATCACTAACTTCAGATTCCAAAAGGATCTGTTAAAAATAAACAAATTCTATTCAAGAAGTTGTGCCCAAGTGTCCCTAAACTAAAAATGGGATGCAAACATCTCTTTACCCGTTGCAAAATAAAAAGTTCATGGAGGCAAAAGCCAAATATATCCAAAATTTTAACCCATATCAGCCTAGGTAATATGGAACCATGGGTTCACTGGGCATTGTCTGGGTGAAGAGGAAGACTTTTTCAGCAGCTCTTGAGTAGCATCAATTTTGAGGTTATTAGAACACATGCTACTGAAATGTTAAATACAATAATAAAATGTCAATGCCCTGAAAATGTCAGGCTCCTGGAACAAACCAGAAATGCTATTACACTATTGTCAAAAACCCCTTAAATCCTATCATAAACATGTAATACCTTCAAAAAAAGGAAAAAGCTTAAGCTTAACACAAGTCAAGATACTATATTATATAGGAAGAGAGAAATCTAATCACTCATTTCTCAAGAATTTTAGATGTGTTTACATCTCAGTCACATGTGCCTGATTACCCATATAAAAAATTACAGCCTTTCCAATTTCTAAGGAAAATGATGTGAGAATCCAGAACATAACTATAGGTAAGTCCAAGACAAGTCCAAAAACCTGCTTGGCATTTCTGATTTTTAAAAAATACATATTAATGAAATATAACAATGTGAAATGTGAATTTGAAATATTTTTGTGGTCCTGCTAAAGAATGAGTTCCTTGGGCAGCTAGGTGGCATAGTGGATAGAGCTCTGGCCTTACAGTCAGGAGGACCTGAGTTGAAATGCAACCTCAGACACTTGGCACTTACTAGCTGTATGACCCTGGGCAAGTCACCTTATTGCCTCACAAAACAAAAAAAGAATGAGTTCCTCATTCTGCAAAAGGACATATGCACAAAAGTAAGCAGAAGACATAGGAAAACAGATATGAATTTTTTGGAGATGTCCTATTAGTGTAATAGGAGATAGTGCCTCAAGATATAGTGAGTTCTTTCTCACTGAAGGTCTTCAAGCAGAGACGCCTAATTGGTGAAAAGTTATGGAGGGAATTTATGCTTCAGGTAGGGATTAGACTAAAAAATGTGAATTCAATTCAATAGTTCTGAAATGCTAGAGGTTATGAATAAAAATTATAAAGAAAAGTAGTTTTGCAGCACAGAAATGTACCTTTAGTAAAGTGTATCCATGAGCAGGAGGAAAATAGGATAGTCACCTTCTTAAGCCCAAATACAGTCTAGTAATTTTCTTCCAATACGCTAATTATCAAGGATCCTTTTATATTTATTAATTCAAAATTGTACATCTAGTTTTCAGCATCAAATTTCAGATGAAAAATAACCAAATGAATAAATAATACAAATACTGAAATTGAGAAATGTGAAGTATATTAGCATCTTCTCGTAACTTTAGCAATTTAAGATAAACTATTTAGAATAGTCATGATATTGGAAATTAGAATTTCTCCAGTATAAGCATTTCTCTAACACAGTTAACAAACATAAAACTGCATTAACTAAATATAAAACGCTACAAGATTTGTAGCTTTTTAAGTACAAAAAGGATGTAACCTAAAGTACAAAACTAATGACAGAACATCACATTTGCTTTACTCACGTTTCATATCCATGTTCCGGGTTTTATACACAAAATATGTATAGATTTGAGTTGTGCGGATTAAGATCTGGTCTCCACTATAGCGTATTGATCTATACCACCAAGAGCCCTAAGACATGAATAAAACAGTAAGAAAGAATAAACTTAGATAAAAACTCCAAAATGAAAACCGTGTTTAAAAATAAAAGTTAATGTCGTGATTTTCTAAGAGCCAACATTCTCCACCTTCCTCCAATGTCTCTAAGTCAACAGATAACAACTGAAATTTGGTGTAAATATCAGTTTATTCCACATCAACAACAATTAGTCGATGCTGACATTAGACTGAGTTAAATTTAAATCTCTTCTGTGTTTATCAATGAGTTAATACATCAATGTTTAAAGTTTCAGCTAGAATTTCCTTTAACACAAGAGCATAAGATAAAGAATGTTTCAAATAAAATTCTGGACCAAGAGTTTAAGCAGAACAATAATATGTTCAAGATGTTAATTTTAATATTAATCAAGTGAAAAGTAACTTTAGATAAAATATCACACAAAATAAGGTTTCTAACTTTTAGGCGCAAATTCACAAATATTTCACCCTAAGTTTAGTACTAAAAACATAATAAATTCCCATTTAAAATTCTTACCACTACAACTGGAAGGATAACCATAAAAGCCAACCCATACACAAGCAAAACCTGGGGTGGGAAAAAAGGGAAAAAGGGTTACCTACATCATGAAGAATACATGAATTATCATAAATAACATATTCTATAGACAAGGTTAGGGAAAAAGACATATAGAGTAAGAGACATTGTCAGGATATACCACCAATTGCTAACTTATTTAGAAACCTCTACATAAACTGCTGAAATGCTCATTTCAATCTCATATATGCTTAATGGTATCCTGATTATTGGCATTTAACTCCACACAGTAGGTCCTGGATTGCTGGCCTTGGCCTCTCAAATGTCTGGTCTTGTCTGGCTAGATTCCTAACCTATCACAGCTCTGATTTTTAGAACTGTGTGATACTTAAATCCTGTCTTGTCATTCTAGATTCCTAACCTAGTGCTTCCCCTTATTTCTAATGATTGTCTATAGATTCTCCTTGGCAAGCCCTGTCACATCCCATGCCAAAGCATAACAAACATGCCTATAGTAAATTATTAAGACTGTAGTGGACAGTTACAATGATTCTTACAGATCTGTCACTCTGCCATAAAACAAGGTAATATTTAATAACTAATTACAGACATTTTCAACTGAAAGTATTTTAAAACCATTGTATATGAATCAAAGCAGGCTAGTAAATAAAAAATGTTAAGTACATCATACCTAGGATGAAGATTTAGGACCTTATGGATCATCTAGTCCAAGCCCCTTATTTTACAAATGAGGAAACTAAAGATGAAAAAGTTAAATGATTTGCAGAGAGTTTTCACAGAGGTAGTTAATTAGTACAGATGGGATTCAAAACCATGTCCTCTTATTCCAAATCCATTGCTAGCCATTTAACCATGCTGCTTTTCATCTTCTCTATCTGATCAAGAAATAAAATGATCCCCAAGATTTTTTTCAAGTTCCAATGACATTACTACTTATTCTGATACTTTATGTCCTCCTAAAAGTGCCAATGGAACACATTTTAAATTCGGGTAATTTAAATTTTACAAGGTAGAGGCCAATCAGTGGGTTAGAAGTTTTTCTCAAATTTTTCAGAAGGAACTACCACCCATTTTAGATTTTATGAGTACTTTTAGACTTTTGGCCATCATAATGTACTTTCCCTTCCCATCAGCAATAAAAATGGACCAATTCCCTGACTCATTATCTTAAGAATTATACATTATATAACAAAGAATAGGTTGTGGTTGTTCAGTTGTTTTTTTCAGTTGTGCCCAATTCTCTGGGACCCCATTTGGGGTTTTCTTATCAAAGATACTGGAGTCGTTTGCCATCTCCTTCTCCAACTCGTTTTACAGATGAGGAAACTGAGACAAACAGGGTTAAGTGATTTGCCCAGTCACACAACTAGTAAGTATCTAAGGCCAGATTTGAACTCAGGGAAATTTGTCTTCCTAACTCCAGGTTCAGCACTCTATCCACTACAACACCCAGCTGCCCCAACAAAAACAGGGCAACACATTAAACTTGTGTCTAGCAGTCTCATATCACATACAACCATCTTATTTATTAAGTCTTTAACTGAGAAAACTTACCAAAATGGAGTTTTTCTGATCCACAATCCAAGCCGGCAAAGCAATTCCAAAACTTGTGGCTAAAAGGATAAAAACATCCAAAGAATTTCAACTTATTATACCAGGCTTTATTTTGGAGACAAAAAAAGTAAAAGCACCAGAGAATATCAAATTTATGATTCTCAAATTTACAAGGCAATAATCTACAGATTTTAATGGAGAATTTAGGACTCAACTTCTTGCTGACCAACTCCAAAAAGAATGGGTTTTTTTCTATTTTTGGACCTGAATTTTTGTAATAATTTAAATACAAGAAATTGAATTTTCAACTGCCTTTCAAGTTAGCTTGAAGTGATTTAACAATTATACCCATTATTATACTTATTTCTTGACTGGATTTTTTCCTAGAAATTTTCTGGACCTGATTCTTCAAGCTAGTTTCTTGGATAAAGGGAAAAAATGTATTTAAATGACACTTACTTTACACAGGATATATGTTTCACTCAAGCTTTTGAAATATATATATTCATTGTCTTGCCTTTTAAAAAAGCAAAGATATGCTTTCTAATCTAGTTAATAATTTTGCAATATCTACTCCTATAACATTGGAAATTTTAAGATCCATTACCTTGTGGCCCATCTGGATTTCCATATTCTTCCCAATTTTTCCGAGATTCTTCATCAGTCAAACTAGCATTAAAAAAAAAAATTCAAAAATCAGAAAGACATGCTAACATTAACAAATATTCACAATAGTGGCACCTTGCACTTCCAAGATGTACAGTTTTCAAAAGTGTTTTCACATACTTTGCCTAGCATGACCTTTACAACAACCTTGAGAAGTATACAGGGCTATTTTTATGACTCTTATGCTGGAGATGAGAATCAGGAAAAAAAGTCAAGAGCCTGGTAAAGGGAGCACAAAAAAAATTGGAAAAGATGTACAAAAATTCACTAAAGAAAACAATTCCTTAAAAATTAGAATTGGGCAAGCAGAAGCTAATGACTCCATGAGACATCAAGAATCAATCAAAGAAAATCAAAAGAATAAAAAAAAATACAAGAAAATGTGAAATATCTCATTGGAAAAACAACTGACCTGAAAAACAGGTTCAGAAGAGATAATTTAAGAATTATTGGATTACCTACCTGAAAGCCATGATAAAAAAAAAAAAGCCTGGACAGCATTTTTTTAGTATGCTTCTACCTGTATAAAGACTCCATCAGTTCTTTCATTTTTCATATGTCCTTCAGAGTTGTCTTGGATCACTATATTGCTGAGAACAGCCAAGTCATTCACAGTTGCTCATTACTGCTCTTACAGTTTACAATGTTCTCCCGATTCTACTCATTTCACTTTGTATCAGTTCGTGTAAGTCTCTCCAGATTTTTCTGAGAGTATCTTGCTTGTCATTTCTTACAGCACAATAATATTCTATCACAATCATATATTACAGCTTGTATAACCATTTCCCAGCTGATGGGCAATACCTGGATTTCCAAATCTTAGCTACCACTAAAAGAGCTGTTATAAATATTTTTATATTTTTTCCTTTTTTAAAAAATGTCTTTGAGACACACACCTAGCAGTTGGTATTACTGAATCAAAGAATATGCACAGTTTCATAGCCCTTTGGGCATAGTTCCAAATTGCTCTCCCAGAATGGCTGGATCAGTTCACAACTCCACCAACATCGTATTAGCATCCCAGTTTCCCCACATCCCCTCCAACATTATCATTTTCCTTTTCTGTCACATTAGTCAATCTCATAGGTGTGAGATGGTACCTCAGAGTTGTTTTTAATTTGCATTTCTTTAATCAATAGTGATTTAGAGAGTTTTTTCATATGACTACAGACAGCTTTAATTTCTTCATCTGAAAAGTACCTTTCGTATCCTTTGAGCATTTATTAATTTGACCCAATTTTCTATGTTTGAAAAATGAGGTCTTTATGTATGTAAAAACATATGATGTAAAAATAATTTCCCAGCTTCCTGTTTTCCTTGTAAATCCTGGTAGCAATGGTTTTGGGTTTGGTTCTTTTTTTAAATGAATGCTAAAAATTGTCTTTAAATGTAATTGGGGGAAAAATAAAATATTATTTAAAAATTAAAAATAAAAAAATAAAAAATGCTGGGGAAACTGGAAATCAATCTCGAAGAAACTGGGCTTATTACATCTTAAATTACTTAAATTACATCTTACTTCCTATTTTACACTAAATTCAAAATGAATGTCACCTGAAGACTAAAGATCATATCACAAAAAAATGAGAAGAAAAGCAGTTAGTCAATAACATTTACTGAGTGTATATTACATGCCAGGAAGGTAGGAGGACAGAATACTGGATCTCCTCATCTTGCCAAGACTAAAGTAGAGCTGCCACTCAGAAGCCTGACCCCACTACTGATCAGCATAGGAGCTCTGACCTGTTCCATTTCCAACCTGAGCCAGTTTATCCATCCTTAAGCAGCCCCTTCCTTCCTGGGGGCTTACCATATTGGTGCCAGACTTAGTGAAAACACTCATTCAGCTTTAGCTTATTGCAGCTGAAAACTCCCAAATTCAAGTAATTCACCAGCCTCAGCTTCCCCAAAGATATCAATAAAATTTATTTTAAAAAATAAAAGGTTGTCAGACCAAAAATTTGACACTCACTAGCTGTGTGACCCTGGGCAAATTACTTAACCCCAATTGCCTAAAAAAAATTAAAAAATTAAAAAAATTAAAAATAAAAGGTTGTATAAATCTTGAAGAACTACATTATTAGAGCAAGAGACTAATAGAAGTGTGTATATCAGGTTGAAGGATTTGAGTGAAACAAAATCATTGCTTAATAGTCACTGAATAAAAACACAAAAGTAGCAAGGTTCTAATAACAAAATTTCCTTGGAAATCAATCTGTAAAAGTATTTTGCTGATGACAATGAAAAATAATAAAAGTACAAAACTATCTAAATCATAATTCACAAAGTTTTTAAAATAGAAGAATACAAATCAACCTAAACATTTATGTAAAAGTTTTATAACTCTACCCTATACCCTAACCTTTTGTTTACATCTTTACTATATGCCTCTATGCCACAGCAGTAAAGGGAAAAACTGGCTTAACAGCAGATTCGACATATACAGCAGTTTTCTAGTCATATACAAGAATCATATATTCAACATCCTAGGAAATCATCAAAGGACTTTATTTTGACAATCCTATACCTCTCTACTCTGGAATACTATAAAAAAATGCAATCAGAGAATGAGAACATAGCTGTCCTATTTTCTATACAATCGCTGAACATTATAGTTGACTCTGAGCTACTGTGGCAATAATAAGCAAAGGATTAAAATACTATCATCATGCTTTTGCACAGAAGACCTAATTAGACTTGTTTGTCAACTGTGACCTGTCATTCCAGCACCTAACTTCAGTCTGCAAGTAAATTACTTCTCCATGGACCTTTTCCCAGGAATAGATATTTGGGGCTTTACGTACATAATGGTGGGAGGGGGAGGCTGAGAAGGGGAGTAAGGACATGGGAAAATCTTGTTTTGTTTTTAGGAGCAGAACTGTGGGAAGAGAACTGTGGAGAAAGGAAAGGAAAACACCTTGCAGGCATTTTTTTTAAATTACTTAAAGGTTCAAGATACAGTGACTCTGAATGGTACCAATGGTAGCCCTAAGAATACAGGGCAAATTATCCCATTTTCTGAGCTATGCCATTCACAGTACAGCAAGTAATCTGCAAAGACTCATATATATTAAATTATTTCCATCACAGCAACACTGGTCCTACTTCTTGGGGTAGGAGCTGCCAACATACTGCAAGCATGAATCAAACTCTCCTCAAAATGCAACTATTCTTTTCTCTAGGCCATAACTATTTAAGAGATAAGTGAATAGGGATAGGAATAAGAAAGAAGACAAGCTTCCGGCAAATCTATCACATCTATCCAGTCCTAACAGTCCCTATCAATCACTGAACTCACTTTAATAACAAAGAGAAATAGACCCGTTATTTTCAGAAAAAAAATTGAGAAGAGAAGGAAAAATGGAAATCACAGTATACAAACAATCTACTAATCCTCACCACCATTACTTAACTATAAGATTACTGAAGGGGTCTTTTTCAAAGGGGGGAAAGATGAGAGAGATCACAGTAGGACAAAGTTTCTTAACCTGGGTTTGTGAACTTTTAAAAAAAAATTCTGATAATTATATTTCAGCATAATTGGTTTCCTTTTATAATTCTAGGTATTTTATTTTACACATTTAAAAACAGTATTCTGAGAAGGAATGCAGAAGACTGCCAAGGGGGTTCATGGGAAAAAATGTTAAGAATTTCTGCAACTAGAAAGGTCCCACATATAAAATTATTATGATGTATTAGCAAATGTCTGCAGGAATCATTTGGCAACAAACACAACTCAATAAAATAGTGGAAAAGTTTAGGCAATGCAGGAAAATAAAATTAGAAGTTTTGAAAGCCTTAAGGAAAAACTGATGAATATCCAAAATAAAATCCTAAATACCCAGGTACAAAAGGAGTAAGCTGTCATAGTAAGGATAACAGAAAAAGCATAAGACTAAAAATAAAAGACTTAACAGCAGATCAGATAGAACTTTTAAAGGAAGTAAAACAAAGAGAATGCATGCATCCATCTATACACACACACACACACATACATACACAGATAAAAAGATAAGCTATAACGGCATGTTAGAAAGAAGACATTAAACCTACAGGGTAAAAAGGTGGGTAAGGAAAGAAAAGCTTAACATATCATTTTACTTATATCATCATTCAATAATTCACATGGCAAACATACTTGTCAATATGTAAACTAAAGATATTTGAAATGAAGACTTAAATAGCCCTTTGGAATGGTTTACCAATCAGTGCCACAGATGAGAGCTTCAACAACATGAGAATTCAACATTTTATAAGAAAAGTAGTAACCAAACAAACATTTTAATTTCCTTTCCTATTTTAATACAGCATAAAATAGTGGTAAAAAGTAAGTTACTTTTTACCATTATTTTACACTATATTAATATGTTTAATACATATTAGAGAATGTGAACAAGATTCTTACGCAGCATAGGCCTTTGCTATCCTCATGAACATAACTTCATCTCCTCCTTTATCTGGATGATATTTAAGTGACAGCAAACGATACTGTTTCTTAATTTCTGCTACTGTTGCACCCTAAAAGAAAATAAAAACCTTAGTACTAAGTAAATGAGACTGCACTATACAATTCACCATATTATATAACCCAAAATGCATACAGCAATGAACTAAGAAAAAATAGTTCTATCACTTGCAGAATCCACAGCTGACATTCCATAAAATATAGTATTACACTCAGATTTAAACATCACAGAAGTGGAAGTGTTTGAGAGTAAATTAAAGCATTTAGCTAAAAGAGTCATCAAGAGAAATAGTTTAATTATCAACACAAAGATTAGAAGACTTATTCAGTTCCATCTGTTTGCCAATATTTCTCTGATCAACTTAATGTCTTGACTAATAACTACCATTAAAACTTTTCTTTATGCTTTTACTTTATAGAGTATTAAATTTCCAAAAAGCTATCATGCTTACTTACAATTTTTTTCACTTCTAAATTATTTATAGAACAATTAATAAAACCTGAAAATTTCTTCTATGTGATAATACGGGAAACATTTCATAGCATGTAATCCAAATATTATTATATAAACATATTTTGCAGGCTCAACCTGTCCCACTTAGCAGTTTTTCTGTGCTGAGGTATAGGGAAAGTGGGAGGAACTGGGAGGAAATAGGAAAGAAATTAAGCCTTGTCTGTGAAACAACAGACCTTGCACAAGTCTCAATTTGAAGGAGGCCTCATTTTCATCATTCATAAGATAAGGCAGCCAAATTAGACCACCTTTCACATCCCTTTCCATTTTACAACGCTAAGCACGCTCTAAAAGAAATTTCCTAGTTGTTCATCAATCTGAAAATCGCACCTCACACAGGAAGGAGAATGGGGAAGAAGAATATCTTGAGTGAATGTTACATTTCCCCCTCTATTTTCCACCATCAATCCTAAGCAATTTTAGCTTTCAAGCAACTCTGGATTTGTCCAACTACTTATTGCAAATAACGTCACTGAATCATGATCCTATTCATAAGACTGTGATCAAACCATAAATGGAATGCCCTCCCTACTCACCTCCACTTCTTAGAATCCCTAGTTTCCAACCAACTCAGCTACAGCACTTCTTTCTACATGAAGCCTTTCCTGATTCCTCTGTTGGTGTCTTCTTCTCTCCCCTCCAAAAGTTAACTTGTATTTATTTTTATGTATTTTGAATATACTTATGTATATACATGTTCTCTCCTCCAATAAAATGTAAGATTCCTGACAGTAGGAATATTTTTATTTTTGTATCCCCAACACTTAGATCATAATAGGTGCTTAATAAATGCTTGTTGACTAATCTGTATTGTTCACTTTAGGTTTAGATCTCTTCCAGCCCTAAATCTATGATTCTAGGATCTTAGACACCTGTGCACCTCAGATTCTTCTATTCTATTCATTTAACCAGCTTTGCAGATATTTAAGAAAAAAAAACTTGGGCCTACTTAAATATTTTACCAGCTCACCAAATTCTCAGCAACAGAATAACTAAACAAATAGTAAAAATTAATCCTGATGAAAATAGCCTGGAAAAAAATTTAATACCAGAACTGTGAGTTGCATTTCTAAACTTTTATTTGCCCACTATCTGATTTCTGTTAGGACTTGCGTCTACACTAATTTTCATGGGTTCATTAAAGTAATGTGCATTACACAAAAATCACTACTTACAGGATCCAAATTTAAGACTTCATAAGGGTTGTATTCTTGATACTCTCTGTCTGTTTTGGAAACTTTGTATGCAAGGAATAAAAACAATGCCCACCCTGCAAGCAGAATTATCTTCCTGTTTGGGGGGAAAAAATGAGTATGATGTAAACAGATTTATATATTTTGATTTGTTTGAAAACTGCAAGAAAAAAACAGGATGATCAAAACAACAAACACAAAACCTGATTCAGTTCAACAAAATTATGCTATAACATTTAAACTCAACAGCTACAATTATTATTTAACAGACTAATCCACTTACTAATTACTGGATCTTTTAACAGAAATAAAAACAAGGTGCACACTTGGGTTTGGTGGTTTGTACTGGAAACTCAGAAAAGTTAACATAATAGTTCCACATTGGGTCTTGTGACAAGGAACTATTGGAATCCAACTTGAATAGCCTTCAGGGTCTTTCCTAAAACATAGTTCATAAATTATTTCTTTGGGATTTCATACATTTTGTCCTTGCATTAAGAATGGGAAAAAAAGACAAACTAGGGACTACAATGATTATTTTTATTTTAAAAACTATTCTAGGATTAAAGAAACATAAAGGTTCATGATGGCTTTTTAACTATCTAAGCTAGTATCAGCATCTACCTTTTCTCTGAAGCTAAATAGCTTTTAAGCTTTACTTTCATTTACAGTGAATCAGAAACTGTTTAGTGTTCCCAGTAAAGTAAGTAATAGACAAAAAAACATTCAAGAGGTTCAAAATGTCATCAAGTATCAATCTAAATACCAACAGGCAGCAGAAAGGGAGAACAAAAATGATTTACCTAAATGTCTCATCATAATCTTCATCAAACCATATATTTGAAAGTCTAAATTTAAAATGCCGCCAGTAAAATGCCATAAACAATTTTAAACTATTCATTAATAAGACTAATTCTACCTTTTTTTATATAAATATGTTTTAAATATATCTGAGGACTAAAATAAACAAAGTTAATCCTTTACAAATAATGAGAAAAACCAATTTGAGTTTTTTGTGGGGTTTGATTTCTGTTTAGTTATTGTTACTGTTAACACAAAACTGTTTTGCAAACCGGGGAGGCACTTTACAATTGAGAAAGAAGACATTTCCCTATCTTTTCACACATCTAAAAGAAAATAAAAATTTATCCAAATTAAAATACCTGAAGGTACTAAAATCAGAATGTTTCATTTAAACATTTAGTCTTTAAAAAAAAGTCTTAGACATCAAGCTGTAATGCTGTCCCCAAGATCTGATTATCACCATCACATCACTTCTTTGAAAACAACTACTGCTAGAGTAATAGTGCTAGAAATATGTTTTTAAAGGCTTAACTTAAATGTATCAATAATAGCACTAAAAAAAGATGAGGAAAAATCTGGCTGTCTCCTTCACTGGCTACTTTCACTATTTCACTCATAAATGTGGGGATTTTCAAAGGTTCTATTCTCAATGCTCTTTTCTTTCTAACTTGCTGCATATACTCCAACTTAAACCCCTATGCATATATTTCTAATCTAATCTTCAATCTTTTATTTCTAATTGCTTTCTAGACATCTCTACCTCAATATCCTTGTCATATCAACTCGATTTATCCAAAAATAAACACATCATTTTAAAACCCTTTCCCTCCAACTACTACTCCCCAAAGCTGTCTGAATTTGTTTTCTCATTTGTACAATGGAGATAAACATATCTGTAGTAACTATGTCATGGAGTTGTTTTGATGCTCAAATGAGATGAAATATGGTAAAGTATTTTGCAAAATTTAAAGCACTATGTTAGGTATTATTAAGCACCTACTTAAAATATTAAGCACCTACTAAAGAACACTGTGCTAGGCAATGGGGATACAAAACTTGCATATCAAACCAGTCCTTGCTCTCACGGAGCTTTTATTTTAATGGGAGGAAGGCAGGAACAAAACAAAGAGACATCTATAATATATGCCGTTACATGACAAACACATTAGAGTTGCAAAATAAAAAGCTGTGTGAAGTCAAAGGAAGGTTTATTACTGACAAGAAGGATGAGGAACACTTAATAAAGGATGTGAATTGGTTTTTAAAGACTGGGTAGGAAATCAGCAAAGAAGAAAAAAGGGCATTCTAGGTATAGGAAACAACACAAACAAAAGGCATGAACACAAGAAGGCTTCTCCTAATTCTCCTACTTTCTATTAATAGCACCACCAGTCTCCCAGGCAGCCAGGATGAAAACATCAACTACCTTTGACTCCTCTCTCTCCTTTAACTCTCCATTATAGCCACCAAGTCTTTCAACTGATTCTCACCACCATCATAATAGTTTAAGCACTCTTTACTTCTTTCTAGAGCTAAGATGCTTTCAAGTGATTTCCCTGCCTTAAGTCTATCTGAGTTCCAGTTCACCCTATGTATCACTGTCCCAAGAGCTTTCCTAAAGGACAAAATCTTCATTATCTCCCCTCTCTAAACTACCCTCCACAAAGTTTCCAAAATAATTTTTTTTAAGCCAATTGGGGTTAAGTGACTTGCCTAGGGTCACACAGCTAGTAAGTGTCAAATGTTTGGTCTGAGGCCAAATTTGAACTCAGGTCCTCCTGACTTCAGAGCCTGTGCTCTATCCACTGCACCACCTAGTTGCCCCCAAAGTAATATTCTTAAAGCATAGGTCTGATCATTTCACTCTCCAGCTCCATAAACTCCAGTGGCTCCTCCCTTTTGCCTGAAGGATCAACAGAAACTCTTTTGGGCTTTCAAAGCCCTTCAGAGTCTGTTCCCAACTTACCTTTCTAGCCTTATTATATATCACTCCCCTTCAGAATCCAGGCAAATTGCCATTCCTCACACATGACAGTACAACCCCCATTTTCATGTCCTTGCCTAGGCTCCCCTCAATGACTGGAATTCACTCCCTCCTCACTGCTACATCTTAAAATCCCTAGTTTCTTTCAAAGCTCAACTCAGATTCCACTTTCAACATGAGGCTTTCCCTGATTCCCTTAACTGTTAAGCAAAATTATCTCCTTATATGTTTTCTTTTCCAACAGAAGGTAAGTTTCTTGACAGCAAAGAATATCTCATCTTTGCATCCCCAGCACCTAGCACAATGCCTGGCATATAGGAGGCACCTGTTGAATGTTTACTGATTGATTTATCTACTATTTACTAAAAAAAAGTCCAAATTCTTAACATAGTATTCAAAGTTCTTCAAGAGCTGGTCCTAATCTATTTCTCCAACCTCATCTCCCAATCTCTAGACAAACTGGACTATATGACTTTCCCCTGACGTATTCTATACTTATAGCCTCCTCTCCTTTGCTCGTACTATTTCCTCTGCCTAGAATATCTTCCTCCCAATTTCCACTTGGTTGAAATCCTACACTCTTCCTTCAAGGTGTTACTCAATCCCATGAAAACTTCCCTGATTCCCCCCACCCCATGCAGAAACAAACCAATCTTTCTCTAAACTTTCACAGTTTTGTCTGAAGCCCTCTTAGAGCACTTATCATATTCTGCCTTTTATAATATTTACGTACGAACATGTTTAATCTTCCAACAGAAAGAACTCAATTTTTTCTCAGCACAGTGCCTTGCACTTAGTACCCAATTAAATACTTCCTGAATTAAGAATTGATACTTACTTTATTGTGGGAATTACATTTGGCTGGGGTTTTAATAACCGTAAACGATACCATAAACATCTTCCATATACTTTTCTGATATTTTTTAATCGAGTTTGTTCTGTCAAAAGAAAAAAAAGAGAAGAGATAGTTAACCTTTTACTTCATAGTGAAGGCAAAAATAGTTGCTGTGTTAACCTTTATACCATGTTGGGATAAACAAATACTGCTATTTAAATTTTTTAAAAAGATCAGAGCACAGTTTAAGATTTCAGCTACTGCCAATCAGAATAAACAATCTATTTGACAGATAAATTCGAAGAGTATAAAAAAATCCAAACTCTAAAAATTATTTTTCCTTCGAACCTTGAAACAGAAATAATTATTCTAACTGGAATACTAGAGAAATAAATTTAATAATACTGGCCTCCACCCCAAAAGGTTTTCAATTGTAAAGCCAATTATTTCCAAAAGAATAATTTATTTCCTCTTCAATTATGAAGGAAGGAAGAATAAAAGGTACAAAACATATCAAAGTAGAATTGAGATTTGCTAGAGGCAGCTAGGTGACAGCAGTGCCTTTGGATATGGCGTCCGGAAGACCAGAGTTCAAATTCAGTCTTAGACACTACCCTGGGCAAGCTATTTAACTTCTGTCTGCCTCAGTTTCCCCATCTGCAAAATGGGGATATTATAATATCACCTACCTCCCAGGAGTATTGTGAGGATAAAATAAGTTGATAGTTGTAAAGCAGTCTATAAACCCTGAAATACTGAATATTTACAAATAATAATAATAATATTTACTTTACTAAATAATATTATTTACAAATAATACTGAATAAATGTTAGCTGTTATTAATATCACCACCAAGAAACCTGATGAACTGACAGTCTTCAAAAGTGAAAAATGAAAAAGAAAATAAAAGAGCTTATCAGGACTTCCCCTACACTAAAATACTATCAAAACACATTGATCAATTTCTTCCAATTTATATATATGTATTTAGTGTCATCTTGAAACTTTAAAGAAAGCTTTTTATAAAAATAAGGTTAAATCTAATTTAGATTCACAAATCTGTATTCTTTATATATGTATAGATATATCTACATATTTTATTTACATCATTTCATATGTGTTTGTGTGCGTACACATACACACACATATAAACCTAGAGACGTCTATCACCAGCCAAACCACGAACAAGTCTTTAGTTTAAAATGAGAATTTTAACAATGATGCTGGAAAATTTGAAAAAGACACAGTTCTAGTTCACACTTAGAATCTGACTAAAGTAGAAATGTCATATACCATTTCATTAAACTCACTATTAAATAATAAGAAGTAGCATACTTTAGTGGAAGAGGGCTGTATTTAAAGTGAGGAAACCGAGATTCAATTCCTGCCTCAGATAAGGCTGTAAGTCCACCCCACTCCCTCAATATTTCTAATACCTCACAAGGTTTTTGTAAGGAAAACACTTTGTAAATAGTAAGCTTAATATTAAACAAATTGTGAGCTTATTACAAAATATACTTTAAAAAAACCCCAACAGTATGTAAACTTGGATTCATGAGACTTCAAAGTTCAAATGCTGCCACTTACAGAGCCATTATGATCCTAGATAAAATACTCATTAGATTATGAGATTTTAAAGTCAGAGGAATCTTACAGATTATTTAGTCCAGGGATTAGCTTTTTTTTTTTAATCTCATAAACCCCTTTGGCATTCTGGTGAAACCTATGGAACGCTTCAGAATAACTTTTTGAATAAATAAAATATATAATATTGGAAAGGAAACCAATTATACTGAAATATAGTCATCAAAAAATGTTTTAAACAAGTTCACAAACCCCAGGTTAAGAACCCAGGATAGTCTAATCTGACCCTCTTGTTCTATAAATGAGAAAACTAGAGTCCCGAGTAAGGGTTATAACTTGCCCACCATCACACAGATAGTAAGTGAGAGAGCTAAAATTCAAAACCTCAGGTCTTCTGTTTTTGAATCCAGGGCTCCAAGAAATTTTCAATGACTCCAAAGGGAACAGAATACTCCAAAGCACTATAGCCTAATGTTCAAATCATCCAAAAGTTATTCCATTAAGGAAATACAAACATCCCTCTTTTATTTGAAAATCTATCTCAAAATAAAACTAAATCTTTTCCATCAAGATCTTTATGAATTGGGCAGTCTGCCTTAAGCTAGTAGAACAGTAATTAGTCACTATTAAAAGCGTCCGCATCTCAAGTTTAAAGGCTTACAGCCCTTGAAGTAAGATCTAATCCTGTTACATTTCAAAATACTTCAAAGTTAGTTTAAAAAAAAGAAAGAAAGAAAACTGGATTAAAAATTAAGACAACCTTGGTCCCACTGGTAGTCCACAAAGAAGCATAGATTTAGGACTAGAGAAGGAACTTCAGAGGTCATACAGTCCAACCTCCTCATTTTGGTCATACTATTAACTATGTAATTTAATCTTTCTGTGCCTCAGAAATATCATCTATACCCATTTCAAATACTTTAACATTGTCAATAAACAGTAAGGATCTAATGTGAACTGGGCAATGTACATATTCAGAATACAAATATAAAACATATACTACCTGTACTAAATTCAAATGAGTGGTATAAACAATAAGTATAAAGGAAAGAGTAATATTCACTAAGAACTGGGATATCAAAGATTTCATCTGGTAGTTAAAATTTCACCTGGGCCTTGAAAGAAGGATAAGACTTAGCTATAAAAGGAACAATAGGTAGAAAAGTTTGGCTAGAACAAACATACCAGGTGATAGTAGAGTGGAAAGTAAGAAGTAGATGGGGGCCAGACCCCATAGATCCAGCAAGCAACAAACATTTATTACAAGTCTACTATGTAATCAGGTACTATGCTAGGCACTACCAGGAATAAAGAGAAAAAACTGAAAGTTCCTGTTCTCAAGGAACTTACATTCTATCATGGGAAATAAATGTGTATATAGATATATATAGAGAGAGAGAGAGATCTACATATCCACACACAAAATATACATAGGGTAAATGGGGGCAGTGAGCACATACTTGCAGCTGGAGAGATCTGGAAAGGCTTCAAGTTGAAAGTGGTCTTGAGCTAAACTTTGATGGAACTAGGGATTTTAAGAGACAGAGGTGAAAAGCAAATGCAATGAAGACATGGGGTATAGTCGGTACAACTGCACAGAGATTAAAGATGGAATGCTGTGCAAATAGAAATTAAGAAGTCTAGTTTGGCTGGATCATAAGAGTGTGTGAAAGGGAGTAATATAAAACAAGACTGAAAAGGTAGGTTGTGAAGAGTTTTAAATATCAAGTTGAGGAGTTTGTATTTCATCCTAGAGATAACAGGGAGCCACTGGACTTAAGACAGCTCTAAATTTAAGGCTGAGGAATACAAGTTTTATATCTGGAAGACTGTACTGTATACCAGAATTTGCATGTAGGCTACTTTGTTATGATAACCAACTAGTAGTTTATAAATTTATAGGACTTAATCATTACTTAATTTCAATTTACCTACAAATTAGATAATTTAATATTTTACTTCCAAAGACAGGAAAAAAGAATGGTAAGGGGGCGGGGGAAGACAGGAAGGTTGCCCATTTCTCTCTCTCTCTCTCTCTCTCACACACACACACACACACACACACACACACTCTCTCTCTCTCTCTCTCTCTATCTCTAGATAGATAGATAGATAGATAGATAGATAGATAGAGAGAGAGATAGATAGATATAGATATATGTCACATTGGTATAGTGAAAAAGAATACTAAACTCATTGGTAGCCTTGAGTTTGAATTTCAGCTTTTACTTACTATCTGCATGATCTCAGTTTCTTTAATAGTAAAATGGGAGTAAGAACACTTGTACTCTCCATCTTACTGAAACCTTATAAAATATTTATAAACTCTCACTCACTCTGCTGCCACTCTAGTTCAGGCCTTCATCACCTTTCAAGTGGACTACCTACCAGAACAGCCTCCTTTTTAGTTTCCCTGCCTCAAGTCTTTCCCCACTCCAATTTATTTTCCATACAAAATTCTTTTTCTAAACCACAGGCCTAATTATATTACATGTACACATACCCTTCTTCCTACTTCCCCTGCCCGCCCGCCAGACACACCCTCAATAAACCCCAGTGCCTCCCTGTTCCTCTTGGATCAAGTAAATAAAAATTCTTATTTCTGGTGTTTTAGTTCTGCACAGCCTAGGCCCTTCTCAGCTTTCCATACTTGTTACAAATTACTACCTTCTGAGGTCCATCTACACTGACCTACCTGCTGTTCCTCACGTATAACACTCTACCCTTCCATTTCAGTGCCTTTGTGTTGGCCATCCCCTGTACCTGGAATGCTCTCTCATCATGTTCAGCTTCTGGAATCCCATTTCCTTAAAAACTCAGCTTGAGTGAGGATACCTCTCTACATAAAGCCTTTCCTGAGCCCAGCTAGTTCATACCTGAAGCATAAAATGAGAAATATTGAACAAAATTCAGGCCCTACCCCAAAGAAAACTAAAACATTCCTACAGGGAAAAAAAACCTGACAGATTGAATAGAACAAATGAGGAGATTTATGACTGTTCAGCAGTCCTTCACATCAACAATTCTGAGAACTAAAATATCTATGACAAAAATGAGGCTGTGACTACATATGCCCAAATCTAAAGGAGTTGGTATACCAAAAAAGTGGAAGCTCTGCCTTGTTCACTGGGCCATCAATGCTATATGTATCAATACTAATTGGTATATGCATCAATACTCACTGAGCAGCCTGTTTCCTTACCAAATCACCCATTAACCAGTGACTCATTTATAAAAAACCATCATTACCAGAAGAAAAAAATATTAAGTACCTATTGTTGGTGGAGCACTATCTTAAGTAAGCATTTCCTTTCATTTTAAACCTCTCCAATACTGTCTTAACTTTCACTCATACCTAGGACTTACCAATTATGGTGGGAGAGTCTGGAATAACTCCTTGTTCCCACAGCCATTTCCAAACTCTCCTACCACCTTCTCTCAGCAGCCTCTCCTTCCTTGAGGTTCATGCTATCCATATTTATGACCTAATTAAGATCTTGGTTACTGTTATAAATTGC